TCTCACAGTTCATGAGTCGAGCCCCACATTGGGCTCTGTGCCGACAGCTCAGAGCCTGGAGCCTGCTTTGGATTCGGTGTCTCCCTCTCTCTTTGCTCCTCTCCCACTTGCAAGCACGTGCTCTCTCTCTCCTTCAAAAATAAACATTAAAAAATTTAAAAATGGCAAGGCCATTAAAAACAAACAAACAACAACACTGTGTGTGAGAGCGTGTGTGTGTAGGGGGAGATTTTTCTACCATTAAAGTAACTTCAAAACACAACCAAATGGAACGTGTGGAACATGACCGGCTCAGTTTTTAAAACCTCCAGCTATGAGAGATTTGTGACGTGTGTGGTAGCGTGAACATGGACTGGATATTAGATGATATTGTGGAGTTATCCATTTTCTTACGCATGATCGTGAAACTGTGATTATGTAGAAGACTGTCATTCTCAGGAGACTCAGCTGAAATTTTTTGGGGTAAAGTATGATCCTGGCTGCAACTTATCTTCAAATGGCTTGGCCAAAAAAAAAGAAAAAAGAAAAAAGAAAAAAGAAAAGTACAAGAGAGAAAACAAATGTGGCAAAACACGAACAGTTTCTTGAACCTAGGTAGAGGGCAGATATGGTATTAGCACTGTATTAGTTTCCATCTTTGCTGCATGTTCGACATTTTGCACGATAAAACTGGAACAGGGTAGGCAGACATGATTCCAGGAAGGGGTGGTCCCAGCAGGTCTATGTGAAGAGAGCACAGAGGAAGGCTGTGCACCACGTGAGAAAATGCCAGGGGCTCTTGTACAAGATTAAGAGTTCAAGGCTGCGCAGACTGGTTTGTGATGTTACTTTGAGTCTCAGGAACACTATCATTTCTCAGTGCCAGCAGTGCTTTTGTAAAACACCAACACCCTCACCCAGCTGGCTAGTCCTCACATCTGTAACACAAAAAGGGGCACAGGTAGATTTATCCAAGCTCTCAAAATGCTTGTTGTGCTAAAAACCAATTCTGTCTATACTTCAGCCGAGAACTTCAACTGTGCGCAGTGAAGGAGGCTTGCGTTTGCTTTGCATCACACGTCCTGGGAGTAAACACTCCCAAATGCCAACACACACACTGGTCAACACTGACCTTTGGCTGGCAGCTGGGCCACTGTCCTGCAGCAGACCTGTGTGCTGAGTTCTGGGACTGTCAGCTCTGCTCAGCTGTGACTCTGGGCTGAGTGACTTCATCGAGTCACAGGCTGGAGATAAAGCCACCAAAACATGAGTAACTGCTCAGCAGGCAGGTCACGACAAGTCCCTCATCTATTTATTTATTTTTGACTTTTTAAAAAATATAATTTATTGTCAAGTTGGCTAACAAACAGTGTACAGTGTGCTCTTGGTTTTGGGGGTAGATTCCCATGGCTCATTGCTTACATGCAACACCCAGTGCTCATCCCAACAGGTGCCCTCCTCTCCCCCAACCCCCACCAAGTCCCTCATTGAAAGCATATTTTTCTACTCAGACACCAAGGCTTCTCAGTGACGTCCCAGGAGAACTGGAGTGGGAAGTCCCTTAACAAGCTTGCCTCTGAGTGTGTTCAGCTTTCCTCACATACAGAGGGTAGCTTAGGCGGAGCCTCTGGAAAGCTCGCCACTTAGCAAGGCGTTGCTGACACTGAAACGTGCCTGTGGATGCTGGTCCGTAACAGTTGGTGTAGCCCAAAGAAAGGCTGCATGCAACACCTGGCACTCAAACTCTCAACCGTCTGGGCCGAGACCGTCTGTAAACTCCCACAACAGAGCCAAGCACTGCGATGGGAGATCTGAGGATCAAAATCCTCCCCTGAGATGTTAACATAATACTATAATGTTATTAATTATTAATATAATAATTATATTGTGTAGCAATCCATATATTGTTATAACATGTCATATATGATAATAATGTTATAAACTATATATTTTATATTATTATATATAATATTGTTATTAATATATATATTAACATCTCAGGAGGATTTTGATTATATATATATATCAGAGGCTGTCCTCCAGGACAAAACCCTCCAGGTAAAAAACACAACAACCTGTAAATGGAGAAGTGGCGATCTGGGTAGGAAAAGAAACATAGACAGTGGTCTGAGGATGCACCAAAGTCAAGCATGTGAAGTGATGAAAAGTCCTTCAGCCTGTGTGGCGGCTGACAGCACAGAGCTGGTCTGACAGGAAAATGGGACAGTACCTGCCCGCAGAGCTGGGGACCCGTCAGGGAAGAGAGGCAGGGAGCCCACTGCGGAGGGGGACAAAAGCACTCAGGAGGGAAGAGATTGTGACCCCAAATAGGGTAGGGACTGTTAGGCTGCTATTTAAAATATGCTCCACAATGGAGCGCCTGGGTGGCTCAGCCGGTTAAGCATCAGACTCTTGGTTTCGGCTCAGGTCGTGATCTCACAGTTAGTGGGATCGAGCCCAATTTCGGGCCCCACGCTCACAGGAGCCTGCTTGGGCTTCTCTCTCTTTCTCTTCCTCTCTGTGCCCATCCCCCACTCCTGGGCTCACTTATGCGCTCTCTCAAAAAGACTTAAAAAATTTTTAATATGCTTGATAAAACAAACAATGGAATTGATGGTGAAGGATGGAGTGGCCTCATCTTCACAAACCAAGACCTCCCGCAAGGGCCGCAAGGTGGACGCCCCTGTCGTGGGAGCCTGGCACTCTGGTGAGCAGCTCTGCCGGGCTGGGGAACCGACGCCGTGTCTGGGAAGACAAAGCCCGGGCAGAGCCAAACTGCTCACAGATGGACTTCCCTGAGACCCCCTCCACCCTCTTTCCTTGTCCCCAGCAAAGTCACTGCGGAATGTAAGGCAGCCCCCCTGAGACCGCCTCCCCACCCCTGCAAGGCCAGAGGGAAAAGCCCCACAGTTCTCTGGGCAGAAGCAACAAGTTAGGGAGATGAGCTGGGGCAGACACAGTTCTTGCCCTTCCACCTCTTCTCCCCGTCCCTCCTCCTCCTCACTGTCCCAGGACCCCGCGTCTATTTCCACAAGCTCCCTCCACGTCCAAACTTACGCTGAGCAAAAGGCCACGCTGTCGTCCGGTCTTTGCATACAGAAAGCACCAACTGCAGTGGGGTTTGCACACGTGTTCGCACAGAAGATTAAGCAAAGCGAGTGTGTCCCTGAAGGCTTCGGGGCCAGTGCCATCACTCTGAACACAGGCAACCTGGCACACTTCTCAGCGGCGGGCCACTTTGCCCCGTCATAATTACATTTCACTCTCTCAACCACAAGTATCAAGCCCTCAGGAAGAAATCAGGCCATCAGCATTAATCAAATCCACGGAAATAGCCAGAGGTAGGCTAGGAAATCTTAGGTTCGGGACCACAGTGCAAAGTAAGCCTGTAGTTCCTTCAGAGAGAAAAGGAGAACCAGCCGGAGGTGGCCGAAGTGGGAGGGGAGCGGAGCCCCACGCACAATGTCTTGAAAACACACACATACAGTTCATGCACCCAAGTCAGCAGCTGATTTGGGCTAAGTTGTCACAAATTATTCCTGGGGGAAACAAGTGGGTATCTGTTCAGCAGGGAAAACAGCAAGGCTAGTATAGACTAAAAAGGAAAGAAAAAGTGGCAAACATATGCAATCGGGCACTTGATGTAAGATTTATCAAGGCCAGGCAACCAGCAGAAAATAGCACGCAAGAACAGCCTCTTCAGGGTTACCTGAAGCCTGGGGTAACTCACTCAAATAAGCCCTGTGTTACAAGAAGCAGAACTCTAACTCCAGCAACTCCATCCTATAGGACAGACGCACACAACGGCTGGACCCCTCCCCAGTGCTAAGAAGCACACTCTGCAGAAACTTCCCACTCTGCCCACGTGAGCACAGTGGGGAAGTTCTGAGAACCAGTCATTTTGGAATTAATGCCTCTGTACAGATAGCTATAACCCTTCCTTCCCCCAAAATGCAATCACAGGGGCACTCTTAGGCCTACAGCCCACCAAAGCCTCCTGTTACTGGAATAAAGGGAAGGATGTGTGCCAAGAAAACAAGACAAACCCATGACACACAGCACACATGACAACAGGGTGGAACTTCTAGTTTTCCAGAAGGGCCACCTGGGGCTTTCTTCCCCATCAGGAAACTCTCAAGGAAGAACCAACTGGGACTTAGTACAGGGATTCCGAGACCTCCCCAGACCCTCTGAGCCTCCTCCTTCGTGAAGCAACTAGGTTGTCCAAGTCTCATGGAAAGGAAAGACACTTGAAATACAAATAACAGAAGTGGGTTGGGAAAGGGAACAGCCCGGGGAGGCTTGAGAAGCAACTTAATTAGGAAAGCTTGGGACACGGGCGGAACAGGTGGCCCTGTTCAGGAAGGAGGGGAAAGAGGAGACGTGGGGAGAAGGCAGTCTCAGTGGGTCCTGCTCCAACCAAAACAGAAAATAAAGCTGGGGGAAAAGGTGAGGAGGCAGGAGTAGTACTGGGAAGGGAATGCACGGCCTTACAATCCAGGTATGGCAAAGTAGCGGGATTTAAAGCCGAAAGGAGACAGCAAATCTTTGAGGATTGAAAGAGCAGGAAAAAGCCCAGCATCAGATTGGGGATTTAGAGATGAGGGTTAAAAGTGAGAAGGGGAGGCTAGGAAGAGACTCTAAGAGGGGGCACAAAGGACTGTTTCAATTGGAGGTTCACGGCCTGGGGCCCGAAAGTGGAGTAGCCTTAATTCGCGATGACAGGGTAGCGGGGGAGGAGGGGCGCGAGTTTTAGGCAGGTATCTCAGAAGAGAGGCGTGTGCAAGCTATAGGAGAGAGGTGGGGTGAACCCTGGCTAGAGGCTGCAGCGATAAGGCGAGGGACTCGGGACCTTGGGTCGGGAGCCAGAGCCTCCTCTAGTTTGGGAATGCTCAGCCCGGGCTCGCGGGCAGAAGGAACCCCAGTGAGGCCTTAACTCTGGAGGCAGGACGGTCCCTGAGGAGGGGCTGGGCCTACGGTGGTCGTACAGGGCCTCAGGAGGGTGGGGGTCCGGGACTCACGCATCAACGTGCTGAAGGCCACGACGCCGAGCAACCCCTGCAGGAAGATGCCGAAACTGTGCATGAGTGCGCCGCTCTCGCAGCGGCCCGCACCGGACGCGACGGTGGAGGGTGGCCCGCCTGGCAGCCCGCGGCTCGCGTTCCCGGCGGGGCCCTGCATGGCGGGCCTGGCGGAAGGGCGCGGGGTGCCGCGGCCAGCCCGCCCGCCCGGGCTCGCTGCGTGCGGGGGCCAGGCCGCCGAGCCCCGGGCCGGGAACCTGAGATAGGAGCTGTACCTCCGCCCAGCGGCCCACTCGCCGCCGCGCGTAACCCAACGTCTGAGATCGCAGCGCCCGATTGGCTCGGCTGGGCGTGGGGGCGGGCCTCGGCCGCTCCTGCCCTCTCCCTCCATGGGCGGGGCTCCGGCCGGGCGTGGGGGCGGGGTCGTGCGTCCGGGCCGCAGGTAGAGTGGACCAGGTGAGCCGGGATGCACGCACCAGGGTGAGCCCGGGACCGTGAGTTCCAGGTCGGGAAGGCAGGAGCAGGGATCGTCTGCGACTAAATTCTTTTCCTTTCCAAGATAAAGCCCTCCTAGCCTGCAGAATTTATTAAAAACACTCCTGGATTCCATCGTCAGATTCCGATTCAGTAGTTCTGAGACCCAGCGGAATAATCTGCATTTTCAGCAAGCGGCCTAGATTATTCCGAAGGAGGCAGTGAGCCAAACAATCCAAGACTCTGCACACAGGAATATTCCTTCCAGCTCAGACGTTCGGCATCCTACTATTTTCCTTTAGTACGAATATTGTGGCCAAGAGTTTATCTTAGAGTCCTCAATCTGCCTGGGTCGACTTTTTTCCCCCTTCCCCGAACATAATGTAAATGGTGATTTCAATCCAGTTGTGGTCGTTTATACCGAAAATATGTGAACATATCCCCATCTTGTTCATTTTGAACGTGCTTCATAAAGCCAAGTTGTTGGGTAACTCTGAATCTCTAACGCCTCCCTCCACACATGCACGCTTACTACCACCTTAACCCTTTGACTCCTTGCAAGGAGCTATCCACTAGGGCCTCTAGTTCCTATTGTCTCATCTACCCACCCAGCGCCTCTGCCTTTTCTGCAGATACTTCTTGTCGATGCTCTCAAGTCCCTGGCCTTCCTGCTGGCCTTCCACTTAATGGCCACATACACATGGTATTATTCCAATAGACCCTGGGCTATATTTGTGGAATAATAAATACTGATCTAGGGAAACTTTCGCTAAAAGATAGTCACCAGCAAATTCCAATTATATAAAAGAGCTAAATGCCACACAAAAGCTTTCTTGGCTAACAGGAATACTAACCTGATTATCCAGAGAAGAGAAATGCTGTTGGTTCTTTAGAGCCAATTCTCTAGCCCTTCTCTTACAATGCATTTCATAGCTCTTGGTCGTAAATGGCATTTTAGCCACGTGTACTACTGTTCGTTCCCCTTTCTGCTGAATGAACTGCTACTCATGCTGAAGGCCTGCCTGACCTCCCTCTCCAGTGGGCTTCCACACTACCTTGTGTATACTGCTTCACTAGAACTTTCCATACTGCTAAATTAGATGGCATTACATGTCTCTCTCACACAGCTATGTGAGTTCCCAGAGCGGGAACTGGTTTTTATTCACCTGTATATCCATCATAGCGCCTGGCACACAGAACATGGCAACACTTTTTTTAAATTAAATTGAATTTTAATTTATAAAATTTAAAACTCTCCACAAGTAGCGACCATGGGAAAATACAGAAAATCAGGTTAAGAAAATAAATAGGTAAGGGAAAATTGCATTACTGCCTTTAAATCTAAGAAGGTCTCTTATGGGGATGCTCAACAGTTACAGTCCATGTTTAGAGGGAATCAAACAAGAGGATGTGTACTTAAAGCAGAAGAGATTGTGGGCTGGGTATAAGGAGACTGTTAATTGCTTGAAGATATAGGCAGCTTAAGGAAAGTTGCACAGAAGAGCTGAAGAATGATGTTTTTGACAAAGTACTGCTCTGCACTTCCAGATGTGGAGGGATCCTTAAGGCCTGTTGCTGCTGTACCAAGACAAATGTAGACAAGAAGCATTCTTCCAAGATCAGGGGCAGATTTCCCAATGCCAGGAGCAAGGTTGCTGTGGGGGGAAATTCTGCTCTTCCTACCTTTCCTGACCTGCAATTAAAAAGCCCCTAAGTCCAGAGGGTAAAGGTTAGACAGCAGGAGAAGGGGGAGAATTCTGGAAAGGTTCATTTTATTAAAGTAGAAAGGAAATTTCTCCTCCTTCCAAAGATGATTCTGAGGCCCCACTGGAAAGAGTTTTGGATTTACTCTGGCCAAGATGTCTTCTTTGCTGTCAAATGAAGTTAAACACAGCTTAAGACCTGTTTTAATGTTCTTACAACCACTTAAAACTGCCATAACACACCACGAGTTTATATACACTCTTAATTACAAAAAAAACCACGCAAAGTATTAATCCAAAATAGTTATCTTTTAATCCCTTGAAGTTAAACCCATCAAACTTGACGGGAGTTATTTTAATAGGTATTCTTGTGCATATTTCTCCTTATTTATACTTTATCCTCAACTCATAACTTTTAAAATTAAGAGAAAAACAGCAAGCAGGAAGGATACAATGCAATATGCATTTTGTTTTGTTCCAAACAAGCAGCTTAAAAAAAAAAAAAAAAAGGACAGCATACATTAAACAAAGTGCATCAGTTCCAACAAGTTACTATTAGAAAGAGACCTAAGGAGAGTGCTGGAACCAGCCAGAAGTCCCACCCTGGCAGGCCTCTGATTGTCTTTAGAGAATATTCAACCAAAAAAAAGGAAGAAAGGAAAAGAAATGAGTGCTTTAAAATCTCAAAAGAAACATTCAACTACACTTCCCTAGAAACTTTCTGCAAAAGGAGATAAGGAACTGTCCAGTGTTAACTCTGTCTCAGCTTTGTAGGGGCTCTTTCATCATCTGCCTTGTGACTTGATTTTACCCCTAAAGCCTACCCTCATCCTTCAAGCACTATTTGGCCACCTCCGTTTGGTCAAGCCAGGCACGCAGTTGGGTTGACTAAACCATGTAGAAACCTCTCAGGACTGAGCTCCCACACACCCTGAGAACAGGCACCATCAGCAACAGTGGCATCATTTCACTAGTCAATATTACCCTTTGTCCCCAAAATAGAGACCCTTGCCTCCCATGGCTCAGGGTCCATTCTTGACTGCTGGTGTTGAGGACTTATCCGGCAAGGCTGTAGATTGTTTTCCTTTTAAAACAGTCCTTTGTGATAGGCCATAGCACCAGGACAGACCCAGTGTGTTAAGTCAGGAAAGATGTAAGGGGAGGGAGTTTTAGGCCTATTTCTCCATTCCCCCATCTCCTGGTTTTGCTGGTTCTTGTGAAAAATCCAAGAGTTCTGAAACACCAGAGGCAAGAAAACCTCCAGTGCGTTTAGTGCCCACCACCTTTTCTATACCTTTATCCCAAAGGCAGCCCTCAGAAACAAGGGTACCTATGTGGTCTGGAACAAGTATGGAGGAATCTCCAAGTGGGAAAGCTTGGAACCAGATGCACATGGACTGGGCTTTGAGTTTAGAACTCTTCTGCAAAAACTCCAAGTCCACCGGTGGCTTCCTTGGATAGATTCAAATTTCCAAAGTACATACATTCTCACACAAGGGGTGAGAATCATAAAATTTACTAACAAAAGATTGTAAAGTGAATAAAGTCATGAAAGGATTATAATTGCATGAAAGGGATGGACTTTTTTTTTTTTTTGGTTTCGCAGGAGGCTTTGTTCTATAGTTTCTGAGACAGCACCATGACCATAACACACGGTTACTTACAGTGGACCCAGGTCCAAGACATTCAAACTTTAAAACGGGGTCCCTGGTTCCCACCAAGATTTATACTTCACTTGTTAGTGATGTCTTCTCCTTCATTTTCATAAGGCCAAATTATAGCACAGAACACTTTTGAACTTACACACACACACACACACACACACACACACACCTACCTACCTACCTAGAATACAGGACCAGTGTTTAACCAAGTATGTGTTTCCATTGTTGAGACTCAGCTCCTAACATCTCTCTCAGAGCTGCTGTGGGTATCAATCAAACTAGTGAATGGTGTCCTAAATATAAATCTTTGGTGATAGGTGCTAAGTAAATGTAAGCATCTGTGAGTTTTCCCAGTGTTCCCATCTAGATAATTCTTACCTACTGTTAACAATTCCCTGATGTTCTGTGTGTCCCCTAGAACTACTTTTTGGCTTGAGAGAGGGGAATGGTTGTGAGTCCCATTCTACCTAAGGCCTCCTAAAGCTTTTAATCTGTATTCAGATGTCACATTAGTGACAGGATTAATACAAGAGTGAGTAAAATATATTCAAGTCCTCAGGAAGCTTTGGTCCAAGGCCCTCTCTCTCACAGTGAGAATAATTTTACTTCCAGGAGAAGAGGCATATAAAGGCCGAGCTCTGAACTGGTTTTCCAGGTCTGCCTCTATCATAATCCAATAAACATTTATCAAGAGGCCCATCTCTTCCAGAGGTTGCTAGGTACCCTTCCCTGATCTCATGTATCTACAACATAGATGCTGGGAGTCACGTACATTGCTAAAGACAGGCAGATAGGTAAAGCCCCAGTAATGCATCCCCTGCATTAGACACCTCAACTCTCCTTCAGCTGAGAAGGATGAGGGCACTTTACAAAGGAAAAGAGCACAGTTCCCAGAAGCCCACAAAATAGTCAAAACGTAACAGCAAATTTTCATGTGCATTCCCTAACACACTAACATGGGCTAATAGTGGTCAAGTTCCAGGGGGCTGCTAAAAGTCCATTCACCTGTTTGTGAGCTTGTCAATTCAGGATCAAAAAGTGGATCATGGAAAACTTTCTGACTCCGGGCAGCTGCGGGGCCAACTGAAGGTGAAATTCAGACAAATGTAGCCCCTCACAATGTGCCTCTCATAAATTTAAGAGGCTGAAAGCTTTAAAAAACAAAGTTCATGTACCATGCACATGGTGCAATATACAAACATTTTATCCAAACATGGTGAGTTATCATCAGGTTTAAAATCTGTTTCAGAATCACAGGAATCAGACTGTCACTGTTGTCCAGCCAAGCCCCAGCAGCTTTGTAAAGGAAAGTGGAGTCTAAATTTATACAATAATAATAATAATAATAATAATAAAAGCCCTGGACCAAATTCCAAAACAATTATCTTCTCTCCTCTCATTTAATACCTAGGAGTGGGGTAGGGGTATATAATTCTCTTTAATGCAGTTGCCTGAGAAACTATATCTCACTTATGAGAACACAAGAAATATTAAGGGAAACCCATCTTCGAGTTGGCTTCTAAGAGAAAGCTAAGCTTGAAGAATCGTGGTATAGACAAGCCAGCTGAGCCCAGACTATATCCAGATCCAAGACAATCAGGGCTATGAGTTTCATCTTTCCAGGGGCTTTGCCCCCCTTTTCACCTATGGTTTCTGGAGAAAGCAAAGAGAGACAATATAACATAATCATTGTTGCATTTGGTAAATTTCCTCTCATAGGAAGTAAATCTCATTTCCCTAAATAAAACATCATTAATTAAGTCTAGATTTCTTTTTTCCCACAGATCTTTAAGGAACCTCCTCTGCCTTAGTGCCTTAATTGCTGAGCTCTCCAGAAATTTCATTATGTAAGATACGCCTCCTTCCCCTGAATCTATCTAATACTAATTGTTCCCAAGCATCTTTTATATACACATCTCTTTCATGGGCATAGAATTAAAATTTTAGAACTCAGATCTCTAAGTAAGTTCAAAAATATTAACTTTTACTTAAATGAAGCTTCTTTCGAGGTCTACCTGGTGGTAACCTAAGCAAAGAGTAGATGCTTTAATATACGATTTGGTTGGAGGCTTGAGTTAAGGTGGTTCATAAATGATCCAATGAAGACAGGGTTACAGACTATAGAATGTCTGTCAATGTCTGTAGACTGGTGTGGGGGGGGGGGGCAGAGGAAGAAAGGAAATATCAGTCTGTTTAAATTTGTTATAGCATTACCTTCTATTTGGTTAGCTGTTGAGAATTCTGTAAATTCAGTTTTGTAGTTTTAAAACATTTTTAAATCCTGAAGATGATTAGGTATAAATTTGCAGGTGACTAGGATAATTAAAAAACAAAACACTCGGCAATGCAAACCATTTAAAGGAAGCAACCTGTGTGCGTGTCTTTCCTCATTCCTCACAGCCTGAACGGCACAGCAAACGCTGTTACTCTAGGGTAGCTAGCAGTACGATCTTAAGTGAAAATTTGCCTGTAGTTTCATGTTAACTTGAGCTGGGCCAAGAGAAACACTTAAAAGAAAACCACGTTGTTGAATTGCTGAGTAGGAACCCTCAGCTTGTAGATTACATTCAATTTAAAGGTATAACCAAAAAGACATGTAAATGTGACTAGGGAAAGAGGTTTCCAGAAACCTTAACCACCTCTCAATCGTTATGCAGCTACTGAGGACATGTGAACACCATCTTACAGAAATTCCATGCGCTGCATCACCCCCTAAAACGTTTTCTCTGTTGTGCTTCTACTCTGTCTGCCCAGAGACCCCGGGAAAGAAAGGGAGATGGGCTTACTGTGGGCCCAAGGAACACCTACTGATTTTTACCCAAAGTGAAGGCTCTAGAAAGGAAACAGACAACTGTAGAGAAAGGTAAAAATAAATTAAAAGCCACTGAAGTCCCTGTGATGGGGAGAGAGCAACTAACTGGAAATGCCCACAATCTTCGAGAAACCACCTAAAACAGGGAGCCCATGCTGGGTCCAGATGGGGGAACAATGACAGCAGCGTTCTCAGATCAGGTCAGGAACCGTGTAAGTGCTCACATATGATTTTTAAGAAAGCAAACAGTGTTGTTGTTGTTGTTTTCCCCCCCTCCAGCTTCTGTCATAGTTTTAGTGTTCATGTTGCTTAAAAATGGCATCATACAAAAAACCTATACATGGCTGTAAGCTCAATCATCAACAGAGGTAGTAAACAAAGAAACTCCTAAGAATAGATTTTAAAATGGATCAAAGTGTGACTGTACATTCAAAACCCTAGAGCCACGTAATCATCCCCAAAATGAACAGTTTTAATTTAAAAAAGCTTAAAAACACAATGACAATGAAGCACTGATGTGCCTTAGGCACAGTCCCAAATCAGTGCTGACTTAAAGCTATGTCCTCTCTTTCCAAGAAAGGGAAAGCAGAGAACAAAGTTCAATCTACAATGGGAAGGAACAGAACAAAAAGAAAACAACCATAAGGGTGCTTTCCAGCAGCCTAGATTATTCTTCGTTTTCAGGCCACGCCACTGGAAATGCTTATGCTTCTTATGGGAGTCTTTTCTTCACAACCTTTTTTTTTTTTTTTTTTCCAAACTGCAATCTGCTGACCAACAGATGCCCAATTCTCCACTGGCAGGAGAGCCACTTCCATGTGGTGTTTGCTTCCTCAGTGTGGGTCCTCCTTCCCTGAAAGTGCAAAGAGAGCAAGCCGACCTCTGCAGGGCCCGGAGCCCGAGACCGTGTCAGCGCCACTTGTAGAACGGGGAGAAGGATTTGATGCATTTGTGCTTCGAAGACACAGCTCACTTTGGTTGTCCTTCTCAGTTGGCAAACTGCTCATAGAAAGCAAACTTGATCCTCTCTATGTGATGGCAGAGTTTGATGGCCGGGCCCAATTTTAAGTCCATGCATTCTTGAACAGTGGGAAGGGTAAGGAGCAATAGGGCCTGCCCATCAATTTCCTGTTAAGGCATAAAATACAAATTATCTGTGATGTGCACATGGATGGCAGCTCCATCAAGTCAGCCTTCACTTTGGCTGTGCCACAATCGGAGTCCCTGTGCTTTCCTTTATAACTTTTTCCCTTGAAACAAGTATCACACAGTTTCTTGTAAGTGCCCCTCATAGTCCTCCACACTAATGAGTCTTCAGAATTAATGACAAACTTTTACCAAGGATAAGAATCCATTCCAAGTTTCCACAGAAACAAACTAGTTTTGTAACTGGCAACTAGATGTGCCAAAAGAAGCATCTTTTTAGAGAACTCTTTCTAAACCTGAAAGAAAATATTAATTATAAACTTTAACATTTTCCTACTCTGTAGCATTCATAAAAAAAAGGCTGGTGTTCAGTTTGGAATCTCCCCAATTATCCAAACAAAATTTATTTTAGTATTTATTTAAGGTCAAAGACTATTCATTTCAGAAAACTTGCCTCCAAACCGATGACCACTTTAAAGCCTAACACATTACAGATGTTAATTATTTAAAAAAGAAGCAAATCATTCTTTTGGAAAAGAAGAGCACAATTAAGCATGGCATGCTTCATTTTAAGCCATTTAAACATTTGGGGGATGGAAACAAAGTCTTAGGAAAAATGGCAATGCAATGATAATCTGCTTCAACTGTGGAACAAGTCAGATCAATAACCTTTTAAAATCATCTTTCTACTACTCCTAAAAGGGGAAATACATTTCTTTCCTTTTGGATAGAAGTATTTTTCTTCTGACTTGCAAATAAATTACTGTTACATCCATAGTCCTTTGCAAAAAAGAGACAAATTAATAAAAAGTAAAGGTCTCTAAAATTACCTGGTCTAGAAATATTCTTGCTAATGGTGCACAGTCGGTGGACCTGATGAACCGAACAACGTCTGCCACGCTCCACTTCAGAGGGTTACTGTCCAGATGAAGCCTTTCAGCAACTTCAATCCTTATTTCCTGCATTCCCCATAACAAAAACAAACCAAAAGATGTCAGAGCTATTTTATTCTTAAAAAAAAAAAAAAAAAAGAAAAGAAAAAGTCTCTCTCTATAAATTTATAACCCTTTGAGGCAAGACTTAAAGTGGCTTTAGGGCATGATTTCTCCCAGCAAAGATGGCCAAGGTCCAGATACGTTACGTACTCAGGAAATGTCTGTCCTTGATAATAAATATCAATGGGGAAGAATTTATCTCAAAGTTTCAGCACAAATAATTTGGACAACTTAACAGAGAAAAATGGTTTTTAAATTTCTCATTTGTTCCTTGGTCTATTTCAGCTCAGTCTCTGGTAGGGTGCTGAAGCGAATACGATGCTACTTGGGAAGAGAAAAGGCTTAACTAATCATCAGGAGAAATCATTTATTGCCTCAGTTCATGCAATACATTTAAAATACAACCCAGTTTTATTTTTTTAATATATTTATTTTACCTATTTATTTTTATATTTTATGTATTTATTTACTTATTTATCGAGATAGAGAGAAAGTGAGAGAGAGAGAATCCCAAGCAGGCTCCACACTGTCAGTGTGTAGCCCAACGCGGGGCTCGAATTCCCAAACCGTGAGATCATGACCTGAACTGAAACTAGGAGTCAGATACTTAACCGATCGAACCACCCAGGCACACCTACAACCCAGTTTTAAAATACTAACTTAACTGCCATTCTTGTAGTGTGTATGTTATGTAATATGCATATAATATATATATATATATATACGTTGTTAACTATACCAAACAAAATAATAAGAATCAAAAGGAAAAATAATTTATTTCTATAGGACCATATAATCATAAAAAATACAAAAAAAAAAAAAAAAGGCCATTTTCCCTAAACTAAATAACAGGCTACCACAGATAAAATAGTAATGAAACTTTTTTTTTTTTTAACTTAAAACAAGCAGCCACTGAAATAAATGGAATGCCAGCATCATTAACAATGATTTCCTCAGAGGGCAATTCCAGACAGAGAAAAAAATGACAGTGCATTTTAAAATTGGTACCTTTGGTGAAGGAGGTTTATTCTCATCATCAGAAAATGAAAAAGTGCGAAGCTCTCTTTTTCTCCGTTGTCCGTCTGGAGGCAGTGATGTAGATATCTCACTTTGGGTGGGAGAGGAAGAGCATGACTTTTTTTCAGACATTTCTGACTCTTCCTGTAGCTCGTCTTGTTGCTCAGATGTACTGCCCTCACTTAGGGAATCGTCATCCCCTTCATCTGGGTCATCCTCATCTTCACCTCCACTTCCCTAGAGGAAATGGAGAGAAAAGTCTTACTGAAATTCAAGACAAACCAGCTCCCAGGCCACAAAACCACTTTCCATTGGGCAGGGATCTGGGTTAGAAAGGCCTGCAGGTGTCCCTTCTGTGTCTGTACTAGAGAACAGCAATCTTGGCTTCTAGACAAGATGGGTACATCACAGATCTCATACCTGCGGGGAGCCTGCTGGGGTGTTATCAACAGATGCAGAGGAGCGTTTCTTCTTATGGACAAACACATTTTTCCGTCTCTTCCTCCTCTTACTGGCTTTTTTCAGGGCACATGCTAAGTTACTATGCCCACCAGGTGGCCTTCCAATTCTCTTATTTTTCTTCTTTCCATAATAGTGTGCTAAATATGAATGACAAAGAAAAATGAGGTAACTTCATGACTTCTGTACACCTCAACCACAAGAGATTCTACTAATACAGCAGAGAACAGGTGCAGTGTATTCAACTAAGGTTAAACTCTGTCCCGTGGAGTAATCTCATCTGTCCAGATCTTAAATGTACAGTATAATTAGTACTAACAAATGCATAAACCTGAATTAACCCTCCCCCTACCAAGATACAGAATGTCTTCATCAACCTAGAAAGTTCCCAGGGTCCCTTCCTAGTCAGTCCCCCTCACGGGAAGCAACCACAACTGTATTCTAATTTTCATGTGTATGGATCAGCTTTGCCTCATCTATGGAATGATTCAGTAGGTACTTTTTGGACAAGGTTTCTTTCACTCAGCATAACGTTTTTGAGTTTCACCTATGCTGCAGTGTGTATAAATAGTTCATTCCCTTCTATTGATGAACAGCATTCCATTGCATAGAATATACTAATTTAACTATTCTCCTGTTGACAGGCATCTGGGCTGTTCCCAGGTTTTGGCTGTTATTATGTGGCAACGAACATTCCTGTACAAGGCTTTTAGTGGGCATGTTTTCACTTTCCTTGAGTAAAACTGCTGGATCATACCACAGATGTATGATTAACTTGTAAAGAAACTGCCAGTTTTCTAAAAGGGTTGCATAATTTGCCATCCCAACCAACACTATATAAGTTGCTCTACACCTCTGCCAACTTGTGGGACTATCAGGTCTTTTTCATTTTAGCCAATTTATTGGATGGGCAGTAATTTCTCATAATAGATCAATTCTGCATCTCCCTGGACTAATGGTACTGGCGCGTTTTCATGTGCTTATTGGCCATGTGTGTATCTCTTTGTGAAGTGCCTATTCAAGTCTTTTATTCATTTTTAAAATGTTTTTCTCTTTGTTTCTTTTTTTATTGAGATCTAATTCATGATATAAAATTCATCATTTTAAAGTGTACACATTCAGTGGTTTTTAAAGTACACTCTTCAGTATGTTGTGCAACAAACACCACTATCTAATTCCAGAACATTTTCTTTTTCTTTTTGATTTTTAAAAAATTGAGGTAAAAGTTACATAACATACAATTAACCTGTGTTCAAATGTACAATTCAGTAGTATTTAGCATACTCACAGTGTCATACAACTACCAGCTCTCTGTGGCTGTCATACTTCTCTTATTACTGAGCTGTGAGAGTACTTACTGTATTCTGGAGAGGAATTCTCTGAGAAGTTTTTAACTTTGGTGATTTTTTTCCTTCATGTTAGTGCATTCTATGTCCAATCTAAGAAATCTTTGCTTACCCCAGGATCTTGAGGCTATCTTGTTTTCTTCTAGAAACTTTATAGTTTTAGCTTTTTACATTAGGTCTGTGATATACCTTGAATTAGTTTTCAAATACAGTGAGGTAGGAGCCAAGGAGTTTTGTTCTTGTTTTTCTGATTTGGAAATCTTAATTGTACCAGTGCCATGTGTTGAATTTCCTTTCCCTGTTATGTTTTTTATCTTGGCTGAAAATCATATAACCACATAAATTTGGGTCTATGTGTGGGTCCTATGTTTTGTCCCATCACTGCGTGTAACTATTTAATCAATACCCCACTACTGTTATGGTAAAACTTGAAGTCAGAGTAAGTTCTCCAACTTTATTCTTTTTCAGGATTGTTTTGGCTATTCTAGATCCTGTGGGTTTTCATATAAATTTTAGAATATAAAGACAATTCCAAAAATGAACCATATATATTCTAGCTCTAAATATATATATGATACAGGGGCGCCTGGGTGGCTTAGTCGGTTAAGCGTCCGACTTTCGCTTAGGTCACGATCTCGCGGTTTGTGGGTTCGAGCCCCGCGTCGGGCTCTGTGCTGACTGCCAGCTCAGAGCCTGGAGCCTACTTCAGAGTCTGTATCTCTCTCTCTCTCTGATCCTCCCCTGCTCATCACGCTGTCTCTCTCTCTCTCTCCTAGAAATAAATAAAAATATTAAAATATATATATATATATATGATACATATTAAAATAATAACAAAGTAGAATGTAATTTTTTGTAAAAAATGAATTCTAGGGGCACTGGGTGGCTCAGTCGGTTAAGCATCCGACTTCGGCTCAGGTCCTGATCTCACGGTTCCTGGGTTCAAGCCCTGCGTCGAGCTCTGTGCTGGCAGCTAGCTCAGAGCCTGGAGCCTGCTTCAGATTCTGTGTCTCCCTCTCTCTCTGACCCTCTCCTGCTCATGCTGTCTCTCTCTCTCCTTCTCTCAGAAATAAATAAAACTTTAAAAAAAATTTTAAAAAATGAATTCTAAAGTATATAAATCAATTTGATATTACTCAAATTACTAACTGGGAAAAATTATAAACACTCTCTCCAAAGTCTAGGCTTATATCATTATGAAAAATAAATTTAGAGGAAAAGCATAATAAAATCCACATATTTTCCATAAGCTCAAAGTGACATCATGTGTTTAGAGAACAGTATACTTAACTTAGATACTAATAATTGCGATATGCTAAACTTAGTGTTGAATCTGACACAATCATGAGCTAAGACAATCCTTGCCTTTAAAGAGTTTACAATCCAACACATACAAATAGAAACTACAAGGTTGGACTCTTATATGATTTTGTGATTCAAACAGTGATTAGCAAGCTCATCATGCTAAATGACCTCAGCTCAGCACCGTCAACAGTGTCTTGGAGCTCGTTGGAAAAGCAGACACATTTACATCCCAGGTACCCACAGGCTTGTTGAATCAGAACTTTCACTTTAACAAGATCATCAACTGATCTGCATGCATGATAAAGCTTAAGAGGCACAGGATTAGAGGTTCCTAAAAGAAATACTCAAATTTAACAAGGTAAAATCTTTCTCTGTATTAAGTCTCCCAAGTGATATCAGGGCTTGTAAAATTTATGGAAGTGTAGGATCAGAATTTCGTCTTTGGGCAACAATGCTGTGACAAGGTTTCAAATTGGAAATTTCCTCTTGTATGACTTTTTTACTTTTTTTTCTTTTGGTGCAGTTTCACACAGGAGAAGATAAGCAATGAGAGGGAACGGGTGTTGTGACAGTTCTGAGTGAGGCCCACAGCTACCTCCTCTCCTGTTACTGATGCCTGTCAACCGCCCAGGCTGCTGTGCTGCTCCCGGCCGACAGGAGGCACGCTCCTGCACCTCCTGCCCAGAGCACTCTCACCCTGCGGTCTGCACAGCTGGCTCTCTTGCTTTTTTCAGCTTGTCACCTGGCACGGAGACCTCTCTAACCATCTGTGAACAGCACCCCACCTCCTAGCCTTCCTCACACCCCTACTTTGCTTGCTTAAGTTGCTTTACTTTTCTCCACGGTACCCATCTCTATTTGCTCACTTGTTTATTATCTGTCTCTCACACTAAAAGGAAAACTCAATGAGAACAGGAATTTTTTTCTTTACTGTAGCATCCCAATCCCAGTGCTAGGGCAGTGGTGGCACACAGTGGACACATAATAAATACTTGCACACTGTATGAATGAATTACATATCCTATTCAATGCAATAGCTAATTTATATACATACTGTATGTGAAAGTTAGCAAACTTGAGCTTGTGGGCCAAATCTGGCCCATGGCCTCAAGCTAAAAATGGCTTTTACATCTTTAAAAGTGTTCTTTAAAAAGTAAAAATAAAATAAAACAGACAACAATATGCAGCATAGACCATATGACTAACACCCTAAAATATTCATTATCTGGCCCTTTACAGAAACAGTTTGTATACCTCTGCTATAGGTGAATGTCTGCAGAATAAAAACTTTCCAAGATATAACGTATGGCCAGCTATTACCGTTAACAAGTTTGAAAAACCTGACTCACTATATTTGGTCTTTGTAAGCACAGAGCAGTTCTCAGAACACTTGTCCAGAACCATCCGTGGGCCGAAGAGATTAGGACAGCACTCCAGTTTGATGCAGGTTTGCCGGCAGAACTCGGTCACTCGGTCCGCTGTCTTCACTACCTCAACGGTAGCCCGGTAACTCTTTCCTTTGTATCTGCCATGGAAGATGCCAGACACAGAGTTTACTCGGCTAATGATTACCCAGAAAAAATCAAATACATTCACAGACGTGAAAAGTATCTTTGCTCTTCAGAAGAGTCTATGCCCTTTATAGTTTGAAGATTCTGAATATGAGATTATGCATATTGGACTTAAATAAAATTTATCACCTAAGTAGCTATGATAGCTAAGCGTTGAATTTTTTACAGTAGCAAATAAGGCTCTTGGTTTCTGGTTCGTCATTTTAAGGTTTTCAAATAGGTACTTCTACACTAACTACTAAAAGCAAAGTGACTTCTAGGAAGTCTTTCTTTACCCTTGGGCAGTGATCCTTAGAGTGTAGTCATGGACCAGGTTGACCTGCCAACTGTCCCCCATCCATGCCTGGCAAGACCAGGTCAGAAAACAAGAGCAAGTGTTTTTAAACTTTCACAGTAATTTGCAAAAGTAATTTCATGGCTCTTAAATCTAAAAACACAAAGTTATTCTTGCATTCTATGTCCTTTAAATTTCCTATTTCTTGCAACTCATTTTTACCATATTTTATAACAGTGCTGGCCCACAATAGGATAGAAACTTAAAAAAGAAAACAAACCTGGTCGTTCACCACAAACAGCTGAAGAACTGTTGGAGGGAACATAACCATTCTAACATTATTCATGCAAGAAGGGATTCTGTGGCCTGTTAAAGACAAATTAAGAATAAAGGATAGAAAAGTGCACTCACTTGGCCTTTAGGACCTCCCCACATCCATGCCACACAGAGTCTTTGTCCAGCTGCAGCTCCCGAAGGACACGACTGGGTTTATAGGCTGCATTGATAAGTAAAGTGAGGACCTGTGCTCCGTTTTTAAAGCAGAAATATGGGTTTGAATGAGAAAAGCAGACCATTAGAATCTTGCTATCCCCCAGAATGTCATTTAGGAAATTAATTCTAATCATATTAATTAATATATCCTAACGAAATCAAAACACTGAAGATATAACTTCTGACCAAAGTTGCAAATAAGACAATAACCACACCCTCTTAGACATTCAAAACATTATGGTCAGGAAGAAAGAGGCACCATGAATTAAAAACTACTCTGGCATATGCTTCTAAATCCTTTGCCAGTCATGTATACACAGAAGCTCGGCCTCCCCAGACCCTGCCCTGTCACCCCATGGACTAAAAACCCCGACAGTCTTTCTAGCTGTTGAGCACAGTGCGCGGCGACCTGGCTGGAAAGCTCAGCAGGTCCAGCCAGCGAGCAGCCGTCTCATGGTCCCCATGAGCGCCACACAGCCTGACTCCCAGACTACGCCTCCACTCATCCTTGCCCAGCTCCCAGGTGGCCTCTGACAAAAAAGCTGTCTATGCTGACAGAAGTGAACCTGCTGTTGTATGTGGAGAACTGCTTAGGTGATGGTCCCTCGTTAGCAAAAGTAATGACGTGTCCGATTCGTGGAACAATTCATAAGAAGAGCGAGCTGCTTCCAGTAACCCCAGAGTTGCCACATGTGTGGACCCTTGTGTGCACGAGTCTCTGAGGCTGCCTTGAAACCTCCAAGTTCTCTTGCCCAAGGCAAGAACCTCACCTCTCTGAGGACTAGAACACAGTTCCCAGGTCCTACACACTGAGGCAGCTCAGCGATTCTTCCTTTGTTCAGATATGGCCCTGAGAAGCAACGGTGGTTGAAGTATATCTTTGGACAGCAATATTTTCCATTGATCATAACTGGGGAATGAAGAGAAACAAATGTTTACAAGAGTCATTTTCCACTCTGTGCTTCCAAAGTTGGGTTCCTGGGGGGAATAACAAGTGTTGGGGCATCGGGCCCCAGTCTGTAGAGCATGGAACTCTTGATCTTGGGGTTGTAAGTTCAAGCCCCATGATGGGTGTAGAAATTACTTAAAAATATAACCTTAAAAAAATAAAAATAACAAGTGTTGGCAAGGTGATGGAGAAAAGAGAACACTGGTACACCATTAGAATGTAAATTGGTACAGCCAATACGGAAAGAAGTATGGAGGTTCCTCAAAAAGTTAAAAATAGGATTATCATATGATCCAGCAATTCCACTTTGGGTGGAATTTATCTGAAGGAAACAAAAATACTAACTTGAAAGGGCATCTGCACCTACCATTGCCATGTTCGGTGCAGCTCTATTTACCACAGTCAAGACATGAAAGCAACCTAAGTGTCCATGGATAGATGAATGGACACAGAATGGAATATTATTCAACCATTTAAAAAAAAAGAAGTCCAGAGACACCTGGGTGGCTTAGTCGGTTAAGCGGCCAACTCTTGATTTCGGCTCAGATCATGATTGAGCCCCACGTCGGGCTCTGTGCTGACAGTGTAGAGCCTACTTGAGATTCTCTCCCTCTCTCTCTCTCTCTATCCCTTCCCTGCTCCCATGCATACACTCTCTCTCTCAAAATAAAAACAAAAAAACATAAAAAAAAGGAAGTCCTGCCATTTGTGACATCATGAACAGACCCAGAGTTCACTCCCTAAGTGAACTAATTCAGACAGACTAATTCAAACAAATATCATATGATATCACTTACATGTGGGATCTAAACAACAACAACAAGACCACAACTCACAGATACAGAGAACAGTCTGGTGGTTGCCAGAGCAGGGGCAGGGAGTGGGTGAAATGGATGAAGGTGGTCAAAAGGTACAAACCTCCCATTATAAAATATAAATAAGTCCTGGGGATGTAATGTGCAGCATGGTGAGTGTAGTAATAATCCCATGTATTGTACATTTGAATGTTGCTAAGAGAGATCTTAAAAGTTCTCATCACAAGAAAAAAAATGTATAACTATGTGGTATTAACTAGACTTTCTGTGTTGATCATTTTGTAATATATGTAAATATCATATCACTATGTTGCACTGCTAAAACTAATATAATGTTATATGTCACTTACATCTCAATAAAAAATGGGTAATTTTAAAAAAGATATTTACTAATGCTATTCTACTGGGTACTCAAAAGATACCATTATGATCAAATAAGAGTTACCCTAGCAAGCAATATAAGGATGATCCAACATTAGGAAAAAAAAATCTATCACTGAAATGCACTACATTAATAAGCTTAGACATAAAAATCACATGATCATCCAAGGCTAAGGAAAAATTATTTTGTGAACTGTGAACATGTGTTTATGACCAAGGTTCCTAGAAAACCAGAAGTAGAAGGGAACTTCTTTAGCAGTTACAAGCCAGTCACCTATATAATAGAGAAAGATTTAATACCTTCCCTTTAATATTATGAATACAGGTGCCTGGGTGGCTCAGTTGGTTAAGCATCCAACTTCAGCTCAGGTCATGATCTCACGGTTCACAAGTTTGAGCCCCGCGTCAGGCTCTGTGCTGACAGCTCAGAGCCTGGAGCCTGCTTTGGATTCTGTGTCTCCCTCTCTCTCTGCCCCTCCACCACTCATGCTCAGTCTCTCTCTCTCTCTCTCTCTCTGCCTCTCTCTCAAAAATAAACAGACATTAAAAAAAATTTTTTTTAATATGAATAAAACAATGGTGCCACTATCACCAGGTCTGTTAAACAGAGGGAAAAGTCTTATAAGGAGCTATAAGGAAATAAAAGTAAGCAAGCATTGTAAAGTGGTTATTATACTAAAGTTAATTACTTTTTTATGTGTAAGTGACATAATGAGAAGGCAGTGGGTGGAAAAGACAAAAGTCTGTGTTTTGAATGAAGAAAGATCCAAGTTATATTTTTGACCCATCTATATTCATAAAGCTGTGTGGCCTCTTTGAGCTTTGATTTCTTTTCTTTTCTAAGCATTTACTAAATACCATCCAATGCATAATCTGTGCTAGAATACACACAGCCAAGATGCTACGCATACAACCAGCAGAGGTTGAGCCAAGAACAATTCCAGGGAGAGACCCCCTGACAACAGGCTTTGGCCTCCAGCAAAATTGTTTCATTTATCAGGCATTGCCTCTGGGACAATCTGTTTTTCCAGTACTGTTTTTTAATTGTGAAATATATACACACAATGTGTATCACAAAAAAGGTTTAAAGAACAATAAACATCTACCTCCCAACCACACAGCTTAAGAAAGCTCACTGCCTGAAAAGCCTCTGGTTCTTTCTCTAAACTCAGGGATGAGAATATTGACCTCCAGAGATCTTGGCACCCAAATGATTACTAGAGAATAGTCATAAATGGACAGAAATATCATCTTAGAGACAGTTATTAAACTAGATACACCTTGGACAATTACAAGCCTTTAAAGTCACAATTAAAAGAACCCCTGGGGCACCTGGGTGGCTCAGTAATGTTAATGTTCAACTTTAGCTCAGATCAGGATCTCAAGGTTTGTGAGTTTGAGCCCTGTGTCGGGCTCTGTGCAGAGAGCTAAGAGCCTAGAGCCTACTTCAGATTCGGTGTCTCCCTCTCTTTCTGCCCCTCCCCTGCTCACGCTCTTTCTCTCAAAACTAAACTAAACTAAAATAGAACCCTCTAAAGGGGCTCCTCGGTGGCTCAGTTGGTTAAGTGTCTGACTTTGGTTCAGATCACAATCTCGCGGTTTGTGGGTTCATCATGCTCTGCACTGACAGTGCAGAGCCTGCCTATGATGCTCTCTCTCTGCCCCTCTTTCACTCTTGCAAAATAAATAAATAAACTTAAAAAAAAAAAAAAAGAGAGACCCCTCTTGGAAGCTACATTCTGGGGGCACCTAGCTGGCTCATTCAGTAAAGCATGCAACTCTTGATCGTAGGGTTGTGAGTTCAAGCACCAGGCTGGGTGTAGCAATTACTTAAAAATAAGATCTTGGAGTGCCTGGGTGGCTCAGTTGGTTAAGCGCCAATTCTTGATTTTGGCTCAGATCATGACCTCATAGCGGTGAGATTGAGCCCCAGGTCAGGCTCAGCGTGGAACATGGAGCCTGCTTGGGATTCTGTCTCTCCCTGTCTCTGCCCCTCCCCCACTCGTGTTCACTCTCTCTCTCTCTCTCAAAATAAATAAACTTAAGACATAAATTAATTAAAATCTTAAAAAAAGTATGACGCTACATCCTATAAATCAAATAAACTGTTTAAAATACAGCCATTACAAGAAACTAGAGGTCCTCTCTTCCGTAAGACTGCATATACTTCTACCTGAGTCTGTGGAGTTCAGCTCCTGATTCTTCAGACCTTCATGGACAGTCCTGGAGGATGGTATTCTGGGTCAATATAACACAACAAAACAGTGAGATAATCCCTATGGTCAGTGAAGTTTAAAGGTTAGTTTCCTTCAGATCTAAGAAGAAAGCAAACGTGGCAGATTGCAAAATGTATAACAGAAGGTGCTTCCCTGCTCAGACTTTTTTTTTTTTTTAACAATTGTTTTTAAAACTATGTACATGGTTTAACGAGCCAAAAGACAGTCTGCAGACAGTGCTGTAATACTGCATATTGAAATCAACTTTCCTTCATTCATGTGAACAACAAATTATACAATTCCTTCTGGGATTCTCAAACCATAAGTAAGTTGTTCCATTTTTTTTCAATAGTCAAAGGACAAAAACATTCCTTGTAAGGGTCTGTTTTCTTCTTTTATCAGTTTCAAAATTAAAAACAAATTATGTTTTGAAAATCAGAGAATTATTCTATATTCACCAATCAATGAAAAAGGCTAATTTATCTTTTTGGGAATATTTCCCGACTAAAACTCTGGATCCATCTTGACAACTAAGTCAAGATGTCCAAGGCCAGATTTTTGACACTGCTATCTCACTTCTCTGCCTGGGACTGAAGTCTGTGGCCTTTCTCTCCACTTTTGCTGTCCATTTTATTACTCACACAGCCACAAAAACAGCCATAACTTACAGAAAATCTGCTATCGCCTGAATTGTGTCCCCTTAAAATTCATCTGTTGTGTCCCTTAGCCCCATTGTGACTGTGTCTGGAGATAGAGCTCTTATGAGGTAAATAACGGCATGACTCTGATCGAGGAGGGCTGGCTCTCCCTTCCAGCTGGTGCTGCCACGTGAGGACGCATGGGAAGCTGGCAGTCTGTAGGGAGAGCCAAGCCAGGATTGGAATCGGGCTGGCACTTTGATCTCGGACTTCCCAGCCTGCAGAACTGGGAGAAAATAAATTTCTGTTGTTTGAGCCAGTCCATGGCATCATGTTATGGCGGCTTGAGAAAACTAACAGAGACTTGAAAACCAGGTATCTGGAAATATATGCCTATACATGTATTTTTAAGGCCCCACTAATTAAATGTCTCCCAAAAGCTGTGTATGGAGGTATGCTACAAAGGGTTTCTCAATGGGATGCAAAGGCACCCCAAGTGTACCTTTTCTTACACAGCTGCTGCCTTCCACCTCAGGGTTTTTTTCACTGTGACAAATCATATCCTAATTTATAATTTTTGCTCTTCCTTAACAAATAATAGCACAGAGATTCTATTTCTTCTCTTATTCAAATGTCTTCAGGCTTTAAAAGACAAAGAAGACCCAACTGGGGGAACATCTTGAGAAGGCATTTTACCCTTCTGTATATGATGCCATTTTAGAAAATGCATGTGCTGTAAGGAAAAGTATGTAATCTAACAAAAGCTGAATTAAAGAATTATGCTTTCACCTGAGAAAATATAAGATATACTCTCTGAAATAGTGATTTCTTTTTCTAGATATTCTAATTTTCAAATGTCAATTATTTAAACATACTGTTATACTATTCTATTACTTACTGTTTTTCTGGTTGAACCACTGCAATTTTCCTCTGTTTGTGTACTGTAGGAAGAAAACAAAACTATAAATGTCAAGAAAAATAAACAAAGGACAAGTTTATATATGTATTAAGCTAATAATAATACATTAAAAAACCCGGTTGCATGTATATTTAACTAGTATTATGAATTAAGTGCTGATATGTCTGAATATCTAGACTGAGGCACATTTTCTGGGTAGAAGGAATCTTTACACAAAGACCAAAAATAATATTTTCAAGGCTCCCAAGTCAGTTGACTCCTATGAATATTTTTTACACAGGAAAAGGTTCTGTCTCTCCCTTTCTATCTGCCCCTCTCCCCTGCTCGGGAGTGCTCACAACGCGCTCTCGCTCTCTCTCTCTCTCTCAAAAATAAATGAACTTTATGGGGTGGGATGTCATTGTTAAGGTTCGGTTACAAAAACACCCTGGCTTCCACCCTCCTCAACCTTGCCCTCTTCCCCAGCTGGTTCTGATGGAAGCTAGCTGCCCTGCTGTGGGCTCCCCTACAAAGAGGCCCAGATGGCAAGAAACTGAGGGAAGACTCCCACCGATCGCCAGCGAGGACCTGAGGCTTTCAGTGCAAAAGCCATGAGTAAGTGAATCTTGTTAACAATCATCTGAGTACAGTTGGTGGCAGAGCCTCGCTGCCTTGAGTCCGGAGATGACTGACACCTCGGCTGCAGGCTCATGCGGGGCCTGGATCCAAACAAAGCACCCAGCTAAGTCGTGTCCACATTCCTGACCCACAGAAACCGTTAAGACAATCCAGACAGGTTGTAATAAGTGATGTCCTACATAGGAATAAACAACCAGAACACCACTTTGCTTTTCTCTGAAACGTCCAGCTTCATCCTAATTGGTGGCAGCCACATGACAGATTACTTAACAATCAACCCTCTGGCCCAGAAACAGACAGCTACCTCGTGCTCGGCGAGGGGCACTGAGGGGATGGCCATTGGTTTCACACCAGCCCAAAGGAAATATATCCATGGATTCCACACTCAAAATACATTCAGGTATAGGCTTCTTAGAACCTGTTCAAATTAAAAAAAATTTTTAGACCATTAAATAGCCTTCTTCATAAACTACTTCCTGGACAACAGTCTACTGTTGCAATAATGCAGACACAAAGTCTTTCAGTAAGTTCCTTTTACACAGAAGTCATACTTTTTCATGTGTAACAAACATTAAGAAAAAAAGGTAAACTATGCTCTATACATAGCTGTATAAAAATGAAAGTGGGGAGTGAATACACAGAATGACTCCTAGTTACAGACCAACAAATACGCAACTGGAACTACCAGTAATATCATTCAGATGGACAAATACATTCAATTCCATGAAGTAACTGGGAAACAAAAGGCGACAGTGGCAGCTCTACACAATGAGAACACTGGTTCTGGTACTTGGGAACAAGCCAGGCAGAGCAGTGGATTCCAATTAGGAAGTGAGGTTGCCCAGCAGGGGTTGCATAAAAGTCTGTATTAAACACCATCTTTGACATCTGCATTAAATGTCAGATCTACAAACTGGAAACAGTAGGTACCCAGTCTGACTGTTTCATAGCCAAACAAGAAAGAAACCCAGGCCATATTCACTAACTGCAGCTGGGTACTTGCTTAATGCTCTCCAGCCACAAACCTGTCCAATCATTGAATGTTACTTTTAGTATGTCTTTTCTATTTTACATACTTTTTGATTCTATCGGTTAGAGCAAACAAAATATTATCTCTTAAATAAGCTATGTGTGAATGCTCAAGCTCATATATTCTGTGACATCAAAACATATGCCACTTGACTTATACTTTCCCTTGAAGAAAATAGGAGAATCTGAAGTGAAAGCTTTTTATTTACATTCATTTCTTAAAATTTGAAACTCAAGGACAGGAAGGTAAATTTTTAGCTAAGAATTTGCATTTCAAATTACAAGTCTCTGACTTGTAGCAAAGCCCCTATTTATTAGCTAATTGATTAAGTCTAACCAGTTACATCACAGGGGTAAACAGGAAGGCTCAGAAAAGTGGGCCACAGGAAGGCTTCTCAGGGATGTGGCACTTACCCTCCAGCTGGAGCCATACGTAGGAGCCTCTCACTGCAGTAATGGTGGCAACGCACACTTCTTCTGGGAGAAGAGGGTTCACTGCCTCAAGCTTCATATTCTCCTTAAATTCATGCTCAGCAATTGACTAGAAAATACATGAATCAAATCCAAACACATACTCAGTATTAACTCATGTACTCATCTGAGAGACTTGTTCCAAGTATTATTTAACTCTAGAGTAACACTTAAAGCTATAAATGTATTTTGCTTTGTTTCTTAAAGAAGCAAAGGAAAAATGTCTGTCTCTTTTGATGTTATAAGCAGTATGGTTTCTAAGGTCAGGTATAACCATCTCACTGCTACCTGTGTGACATCACTCAAGCTGTGGAACCTCTTTTTGCCTGAGTTTAATCATCTGTCAGATGACCTTGTGAACATTATCTCACTAGGTTATTATGAGTTTTCAATAAATAAATAAAGTACCTAAGGCTCTGTGCCCTGAACCAACTGGCTCTCTCACCCACTGCTGGTTTGCTTCCCTCCTCACCAAGGGCTTTATCACACAATCAGCTGCCTGGTTCCTATTTCTGTATATTTCATAAAAGTCAGTCAGGATAAATACTGCTTATGAACAGATGGAAAATATGCGTTTTGAAAATTTTCAACTTTTAGGTCAAAATGGAAAACTGAACTTCCGTATTTGATTGTTCTCTCTTCCTTCTGACACTAATACTAAAGTGGGGTTTTTGTTTTGTTTTGTTTTTTTACATAAATCTATAGGATGGATTTAACAGGAGACAACAGCAGCATTTTAGAAGTTAAAATTTAGGGGTGCCTGGGTGGCTCAGTCGATTAAGCGTCTGACTTCGGCTCAGGTCATGATCTTGTGGTTTGTGGGTTTGAGCCCCGCATCAGGCTCTGTGCTGCCAGCTCAGAGCCTGGAGCCTGTTTCAGATTCTGTATCTCCCTCTGACCCTCCCCTGCTTACACTGTCTCTCTCTCTCTCAGAAATAAATAAAACAATAAAAAAAAAATTTAAAATAAAGAAGTTAAAATTCAGAACAGTATGTATAACTAATTTGTTGAAAACATTTAAGAAGCACTTAGGCCATGTCTCCACACCCCACGGCAACTATCCCATTCCTTCCTGTATATAAAATGAGATTTGTCATTCAGAGAAGACAGGACACAAGACCCCTGGGCAGGAGGACAGGAACCTCTGAGGGCATGCAGGCAGCACCCAAAACAAGGGTTTGCATGTGGGATACTGAGAGGTCCAGCCCTCACCTCTACCCTCCAGGCAAGGACTGGAAAAGACTTCTTATGGTAATATGAGAAGCCCAGGAAAAAACACATGAAGATATGTTAGGAGTCCCCAGCAAATGGCCAGCCAGACCCCAACCTAAAGAGAACTTTAGGGTTGACAAGCGCCACCCACATGCTCAGAACTTCCAATCAGCTTTATCTTTTTTTAGTCCCCCATTCTTTTTTTTTTTTTTTTTTACAAATAGTTTATTGTCAAATTAGTTTCCACATAACACCCAGTGATTAGTCCCCCATTCTTAAACACAAGCAAACCACCAAGCATTACCAGATATCTAAAAATATGAAAGCTAGGGATCAAAATAGACAAAACAAGCAACACGGAGAAAACTTCTTATGCAAGAAGAAAATTTCTCAAAAGGCAGGGGTAATTAACATCCCCTGAGTGATCAGAAAAACTATCACATCCTTAAAACAAGAATAGTATGCCATTAAAAATAAATATTCAGGGAACAGAAATAGTTCTGGAAAATAAAAAAAAAAACAAAATGTGATATTAAAAATTTTAAACTCTAAAGAAGGACTGAAAGATAAAGTTTAGGAAATCTTTCATCAAGCAAAGCAAAAAGACTAAGAAACAGAAAACAAGAGAAAAAGGTAAGAAAAGTAGAGATCTGACCCAGAGGGCTAATATACAAATAAAAGAAATTCCAGAAAAAGAGAAGAGAGAAAATGAAAGGAAGGAAATCAAAGAAGAGATTCAAGAGAACTTCCCAGCACAGAGGAACAAGGATCTACAGAGAATGTGCTCACTGAGAACCCAGCAAGTGAATGAAGACAGGCCATGCCATGGCTTAGCTATGAAACATGGTGACAAAGAGATTCTATAACTCCCCCAGGGAGGGGAGGGACTAAAAGGCAGGACATCTATGAAAGATCAAGAATAAAGATAGGTATCAACCCCTTGATAGCTACACTGGTAGAAAGGTAGAAAATAACTCAATGGTGTTTTCAAAATTCTGTGGTAAAGTAACTTCTGACATAAAATTCCACATTGAGCCAAACTATCAGTCAAGTTAATAGAACGAAGACCTTTTCAAACATGCAAAGACTACAAAAATTTACCTCTCCTGTATTCCATTTCAGGAAGCTACTGGGAGATAGACTCCAACCAAACAAGGGAATAAACCAAGAAAGAGGGAGGAGGCCATTAGACATATAAAACAGGAATCTCAAATCCCTGGGTGACACTGATGGGCAGTTCCCAGGATTAAAATTTTATGGCAAGCCTGGTGAGCAACCTGTCCAAAGAAAGAGAGAGAATGAAGGTTGCTAAGAGGGATGTGTCTCGGAAAAATCTTAGAAATGACAAAGTTCCGGGGCACCTGGGTAGCTCAGCTGGTTAAGCATCCAACTTTGGATCAGGTCATGATCTTGCAGTTTGTGACTTTGAGTTAGAGCCCCACATGGGGCTCTGTGCTGACAATTCAGAATCTGGAGCCTGCTTTGAGTTCTGTGTCTCCCTGTCTCTCTGCTCTTCCCCTGCTCAAGCTCGGGCTCTCTCTCTCTCTCTCCCATACATTAAAACAAAATTAAAAACTACAACAAAAAAGAAATGACAAAGTTCCTACATCAGGGTATCTAAGTGGTCATAGACATGAGGAATAGAGAACATGTCTAGAGAACATCTTGTATTTTAACCCTTCTACCCTAAAATACAAAGAAATAACTTTAACTAGAAAAAATATACACAGGTCTAGATGGACCAAAGAGACTGCTGGAAAATGCTACAGGGTGGCAATGTGAGCCTCTGGCTCTAAACATGGAGCTAGGACCCAGGCACAAACGCCCGTGCCTCTCACATTCCTCTCGGTCAGGGCCCGCCCCTGAGATGGATGGAGCGAAAGCAACGTGTGCTAACGGCAGAACCGGAGACGCCGGCATGAGTGGCTGGTTGCAGAGCCTTTTCTTGGTCCTCCTGGGCTCCTATGAGTGAGACAGCTGCCTTCCTCCACCACACACAAACATAGCTATAGCTGCTACTGAGAATAATACATGGGAATAACTGGAAAACTGCTGCCAAAATGGGTGGGCAAGACAAGTATGAAAGGACGGGGAAAAGGAAAAGTAATGAAAAAATTGAGAAGAAATTTGCATTCATATTGTTTCAAAGTATCAGAGTTCTCATTGTACTAAAAATCCTAGGATGCATGTTATGTCTATGGGTATATAGGGTATATGTTATGTATATATTAGGAAAAGACTCAAGGAAACACTAGATGACAGTTCATATGCAAGGGAAAAGCCTTACCAAAAGATTAGCACATGCATGCAGATTTATACATCTTAAGGTAAAATAAACTGCTTCATCAAAGGATGACTCTCTGATTTAGATGACTTTCAATGACAGAGTCAGGTAAGGGAATTTCTGCATATATAATGTTTCCTCCACCCCTCAAATAAACTGTAAGTTTCATAAAGGTGGGGCAGGAAGGGAGGATGACAGATTTCCTGATGTGATTGCCTTTGTAGAAACAGGAGAAGTTACAACTACCAAGAGAAACGGAGAAAATTGAGCCATAAAAAATAAGGCAATTATTAACTTGAGGATAAATAAAAAAGAGAAAACCATAAAATACTGCAGTGCTCAGCTGTGAATAATACCTGAATACGTATCATAGTGTATATAATCAATTCAGATTTAACCAAAAATTGTAGGAAGAAAGAGGTGGGTAAGACAGAAGAGAAAGGTAATATAAAATAGTTAAGTGTTCATTTACCATAACATAGACATGTCTAAAATTAATGACTCATAGATGGCAGCATACTATTTTGAAAATGATTTAAGTATAAATATGAGAATAACAGTGAGAACAATGTGAGCGAATACTCCCGGGAAGGGAGACCATGCAAAGGGATAGAGCAGGGACCTATCGTTTTATGCTGTAAGCTTTTTACTGCTATTTGGCATTGTAAACGATACACATGTAATATTTTCATAGAAGTATTTTTAAATAAGTTTAACCATTTCTTTCCACTTAGGCAGCACTTTTTCATATTTTTAAGCAAGCAAAAATAATTATGAACTAAAAAAATTCACGATTTCAGCTAACAAAAAAACCTGAGAAACTTTACAAACTAATTAAATTAACAAATTAACTTCCACAGTGAATGAATTTTCCTTGGACCACTGTATTACAATCAATGAGATGCTTATTGGAGCTGAGCAAGGGGAATGAATACGAGGCAGCCGAGCCTGGCGGCCCCAAAGCATAGCGATGGGGGGAGCGGGGTTCTCACCGGAGGGAAGCACCTCTGCGGAGCAGCTTCGGCACCACACTGTTTGAGGTAGTCAGCCCAGTCAAAGTCCTGGCCCGGGAAGCCTAGGCAAGAACAGAAGAGCAGATTCGTACCACACACGCCTGCCCGGCTGTTCCATTCTGCCAGGCGCCCACCCACAACTTCTCATCGGCTAATGTGAGGACTTTGCTCTTCTTAGGGAGGAGGAAAAACACCCAATAAATCAAAAGCGTCAGTCATGCTGTAAAACAGAGCAACTTTGGTCAAACTATAGCAATACAATAAAATTCTTTGAATAAACTTTAAAAATTTTGTTTTCAGGTTTATTTATTTATTTTGAGAGCGTGAGAGTGAGAGCGAGAGAGAGAGAGAGAGGGGTGCAGGGAGAAGCAGAGACAGAAAGGGAGAGAGAATCCCAAGCAGGTTCCTTGCTGTCAGCACAGCACCCTGTGTGAGTCTCCATCTCATGAACCGTGAGATCATGAACTCAGCCGAAATCAAGAGCACAAGGCTTAACAAACTGAGCCACCCAGGCGCACCTCTTTGAATAAATTTTTAAACTTTCAAGTTTCAAATTAGGCATTTATTTTCAATAATATTTTATATGATTAGCTGCTGGCAGTTTACCAAAAGAATTTAAGACAGTTATGACTGGATTTGATTTGTACTAATAAATTCAGTCTTACTATCCATTCTATTCCAACTTAGGCTTTAAAGGAAGGGAGAGCAAATAATCTTTTTTCTCTTATGAAGCTACGTCCTTAAACGTCTTAGCCACTCCTGACATAAAAGTCTCAGCACTGTTTTCAGATTCATGTTCTACAGAATTGCAACACCATCTTGTAACCTGAATCATGAATTCATTTCAGAAGAAAACAGTTGAGCTTACTTGCCTGCTTAAGTCCACCATGCTTCTTGGTAGAAGCCTCTGAGACCTGATGCCCCGGCAACACCATCTGCCCAATTGCCTCATTGTTTTGGACTGGCTCTCCGCCGCGCAGAGCTGAGCACACAGCAGGCTACCATACCACACCACCATATAGCCACACAGCCCCTGTGGTCCCTCCTCTGCTCAACTCACACTAGCACCGCGCTCCCGCTCTGCCTCCACCTCTATTCCTCACAGCAAACTAGTTGCCATTTTCAGTTACATAACCCACTACCTTCCTCCTACTTACAAAGACAGGTGAGTTGTCTGTAACAGAGCTGAAAGCTCCTATGTCTTTAATAATGGTTTTTTTCCTTTTCACACAAAGGCACCAGGTAAGATAAATAACTTGGGATGTCCAGAGTCTTCCAGCAAAGCAAGAACTTCCTCCTGTAGGCGTGTCCCCCTCTGCCACCACCACCAGGCAGGTGTGCCCACTGTCTGTTCACTGATGAGAGAACCTGGGAGGCCCCATTACTGTTTCACCTACTTGCTCCTTGAAGGAACCATCGTACTCACTTGTGTCTCCCCAGTGACAGACCAGCCCAATACCTGGCTCATAACAAACATTCCATAAATGTTTTGTGGATAAATGAAGGCTGAATAAACAGCAAAAGATTCTGAGTTTCTGACTCTTGTTAACACACAAGAGCGATTCCAGCTCAGTATTCTAGCACTCACTGATTGGGAAGTGAAGCTGTATTTACCACAAGTCTACTATAAAGGATACATAGATTTCCATAGACTTCCAATCAAGAAATCTGATATGCTAATAGAAAAAGCAGATGAACATTTAACACGTCCAGATATTATATGCTAGAATGAATAAAAATTTCAGTCAAGCTCAACAAAGTCATATTTAAGAGCATTGATTAAAGGATCAAAGATATTTTGCAAAGTTGCAAACACCAGGAAAATGAGTTGCTGGTTTCCTACCTACAGCCTCTCTGAGCCCTACTCTTAATTATAAATCTCCCTCTCAAGTCTGAAGAGCCTCACTCCAGGGGGATGCCCAGAAACCTAAAAGTCATCTGACACCTGCCGCCTGCCTCCCAGTTCTGGTTCTGAGGCCTTCCCTCCTCTGCCAGCTCCCAGCTGACACTCCCTGCGCGTCCTACTCTCACTCCTCTGTGCCCTCACGACACACGCAGGAGGGGCCGACCAGGAACCTGCAGGGGACCCCAGGTGTTACGAAGATATATTTGTCAAGGTAGGCAGACAGAACATACTTGACTTAATCATTTAGCTTAACTTAAAACTTGCAAATATGTAAATACATGGAATCAAGGCCTTCACTTATACTTGTTTTGGGACCCAAAAATTATAAGGACATTGGAGCATGAGGGGACAGAGAGAGACAGAGACAGAGAGAGAGCACAAAGATCCAGGTGATGCCATCTGATAAATGCCATTTCAAAAAGAAACCCCTGATGGGCATTTCAGAAAAGACCAGCTACATACCAGGAGGGGGGCTAATGTGTAAACCATTCTTCAGACTCCACTGCACAGGGAAAAGACCAGGACTGTCAGCATGACACACAAAACATCGCCGTGCATGATTCTCTGGGCGCAAATCATCCATTTCCACCAGGAAGTACTTCTCATCAAAAACCTGTACGTACAATTGAACAGACAACACAGACAAATGATTTTATGTGTATGTATACACACACACACACACGTGTGTCATTCCTCAGCAAGGACAAACATTATAAAACTTTACAGCCACGGTGGGTATGAGTAATAACACTAAGCACTCAATAAATGTTACCTTCGTGTCAAGCACTATTTTTCTGTTTTGTTTTTTTAATGTTTATTCATTTTTGAGAGAAAGACAGAGCTCGAGCGGGGAAGGGGCAGAGAGGGAGACACAGAATCTGAAGCAGAGTCCAGGCTCTGAGCTGTCAGCACAGAGCCCAATATAGGGCTTGAACTCATAAATTGTGAGATCATAACCTGAGCCGACTAAGCCACCCAGGCACCCTCAGCCACTGTTTTAATTAAATGCTTTGCACACATCAATTCAGTTTTAATCTTCCTTACAACTTAATAAGGTAGGTACCATTATCAACCTCATTTTGTAGATAAGGAAGCTGGATTTAAAAAGAAGTTAAATAACTTGTCCCATTTTGCCCAGCAAAGCAGCAGCAGAACCTGGGCTCAAATCTAAGTACTTGGGCTCCAAACAAAATTTAGTTTAAGTTTAGTGAAGAGCTGGCCACACTTGAATATTAGATTTTTGGATCCTAGCCGAGTTTCAAATGCCTAAAAGGTTTTATTAACCTTCTCTGGCTCCTGGCCACCCCACAGCCCTTTAGACTCCAGATTGGGCCTTCTGACCCCACTGTAGGTTGAGGATCCCTTCCTGTTCTAAAAATAATCCTCTCCTAAAGCTAAACAATTTAAATCTCAACCTATCAAACAATTCAGCATCCAAGCAACTTCTGCACTAGTCATGCTAGTCTTCTGGTTCTACTCTGGGTAAATGGGCTTCTGCTCCAGTCTTGAACTAACCCCTTCTCTTGGGCCTCGGTTCCAGTAATTGAGTAGCCAGGGCCTGATAACTTGCCCAGCTCCTGTGGTTACTCTCAACCAGAGCCTTACTTCGGTCAACCTTCTGAAAGACTGAAGTCTGAGTCTGGACTCCAGGCTGGAGCAATCCTGGGCAGATCGCATGCCATGGACCACCTGCTCCCCCAACATCCCTCACCCAGTGAGCCGTGCACCTGGGTGGACACCAACACCGATGCCTGTGCCCATACTTCTCAGACCCTGCAAGCTGCCTGGCATGTGAAGCCCCCTCTAGTGCACGGCAAGCCCTGCTCCCAAGACCATGCCCCATGACTCTGGCACCCGAGCTTTGGTTAGCTGGGGTGACCCGGCCCAGAAGAAGGAATGGGCCACAGAGACCTGGACGGTGCAAATGCAGAATATGCACAAAAGTCATTCTAGCCTCACAGCTTAGGAAAAACATGGCTCAGATCAGTAGAGCCTAAAGATCAAAACACTACCACTTTCCTAAACCAGTCACCCTGACAGGAATTCTTACCAAGAGAGCTGCCCCCATTTTACCTTAACAACTGTAGCAGGAGAGATCCCAAAAGGAGACCAGGGATCCACAGCTTCCAATTTCATATTTACAGAGAATGAATGAGTGCTAATCACTTGTTTGTCCTGAAATGTAAACATCAAGAGGGAATAAAACTATAGTATTTTCACAGTAATTTTATACTCATGTATAAAATACTACTCTTAATTAAAATAACATAACTGTCCAACTTAAATAATTTAATCCTATAATTTTCTGTCCTGGAAGAAATTATTCAGAAAAAAAATTATTCAGAAAAAATTATTCCAAAAAAAAAAAAAAAGCCTACGAAGTACTCCTACTCTCCCTATTTGGCACACAAAGGCCATCTGGAGGAAAACAAGTTTATTTTATAACAAGTGGGGCTATGTAGTTACAAGTGGAAAAGACAAATTCTTGAAGAGAGCTCTGGGAGGAAACCTAGACTACCCTTAGAAGAAAAACAGGCCGCCCATCACTCCAGCCTTCAAACCTCTTTCCTCCTCGGAGCATCACAGCAGCTCACGGACCAGGGGTCCCTGTGCTCCACCCCACTGTGAGAAGTTAAGTGCTACCCACCGTGTTTCTGTTCTTACCTTAAATAAGTATGAAGGCAATGGCTCTTCCTCCTCCTCTTTCACTTTGGCCAGGATCTCCTGCCACTCACCTTCATTCTTTAGATGCTGAATGGCTTTAGTAAAACAAGACAGGATGTTTTAAATGAGGAGAACTTACACACTTTATAACTTCTGAAAGCACTTGGGTAAACAAAAAGTCACTTTCCCCGGGGAAAAGAAAGGACTCCAGCCCACTTATACCATCTTCATTCAAAGAACTTGCATCTTAACTTCAGTACTTTGGGGGCACCTGGGTGGCTCAGTCGGTTGAACGTCCGACTTCGGCTCAGGTCATGATCTCACGGTTCGTGGGTTCGAGCCCCGTGTTGGGCTCTGTGCTGACAGCTAGCTCAGAGCCTGAAGCCTGCTTCAGATTCTGCGTCTCCCTCTCTCTCTGACCCTCTCCTGTTCATGCTGTCTCTCTCTCAGAAATAAATAAAACATTTTAAAAAAACAAAACAAGAAAAACCCACTGAGAATTAACTTCAGTACTTTGTCTCCTCTATTCAGACCTGAGTAGCAAGTCTGGTGAAAATACCTACAGGTAGATTATAAGGATTGCTGTAGGCCAGAAAATAACAGAACATCCAAACTTGCTTAACAGTAAGTCCCGTTCTGATCTCACTGTTATTTCTTTTAATCACTTTAACTCATTTTGAACCAAGACCTATCCTACTCTTATACCTACCTAAATGCTACCTAGAGAATTTTTCTTCAATTTTGGTAAGGGGTCAGTATGAGCTGGGGCAGGAGTCCATGAGTACATCAATATGTGTGGCAAATTACTAAGTTAATAAACTGAAAAAAACTATAGGTACTTAACTGCATATACATTTTTTACAATCTCTCCACTGCACAAAGGCTGTCATAATATGTAGAATAATGCATTTTTCAGTCTTATCAACATTAATAAAAGCATACTATAACCATAATGTAACAGTTAAAGGAAAAATGTTCTATTACTCTTCACCTAATGGGGGCTGAAGCTCATATCCCTGCTGAGCAGCCCAACCAACGTGATGAAGAAATGGATCCAAGTAATACAACCAATAGTCAAAACTGTCAGAACTTTCCAGTCCTTCATAGCGCAGCTTCAGCCTTCCTCCGATGTTCTCGACTACAGTAACGATCCAAGTGCTCAATGAGTCCCGGAAAGCTTGACACTCTAGCCTGGAGCCTGGGGCAATGAGATCTAAAGGGTTCCTCCCATTACGGAGCTGTAGGTACAGACAAGAAGTTAACACAGTATTTTTAAAAGTCAAGTTTTAAATAATCTCAAATGAGCCTTTATATTTTTATCCACTCAAAGCCATGTCACTGAATGGCGTAATATCACACAAGTATCTACAGTATTGTTTCTAGATGGCATGAAAATGTTTATATTCCAGAAAATCTTACTTACAAGGCAGTGAGACTACTCTAACAGATTTCTAAGACTATGTTATACAGTTTCATCTAGTAAGAATTTTAAAAATATCACCATTACTCAGTCTGACTATAAAAGCAATTATGACCACCATTAAACAAAAAATCAAACCAGACAGAAGTCAAAATTTCTCCCAATATCACCTCTAAGAAAGAACCACGATAAGCACCTTGGCACCCACTCGGACACTGGGTTTTCAACACACAAGTCAATATCTACCTGTGTCTGTCTCGCTGTCTTGTATTTTCTGAACAATGGGAGCGCTGTATACGCTTTTTCAATTTGTGTTTGTTACTGAGTACACCACAGCTATCTTCCTATTATAATACATACAAAGTCCTCTTCATTATTTTATACTGTTTTATTGATATTCTGTGGTATAAGTGGGCAGTAATTTATCTATTTATCTACTGATGGCATTTCAGTTGTTTCTGACTTTTTACTCATTTCACAACAATGTTCCTATGAACACAGTGTTTTGATTATGCTGCTGGAAAGAAAAAGTATAATTATTACTCTAGAAATATATTAAAAGCTACAATAAAGAATAAAAAAGAATGCTGATTCCAATATCATCACTTAGACACTTCTTAATATTCAAACTAACTTTTTTTTTCCCTAATAAGAACTGCTCTATGACAGTGCTCACATACTCATTTGTGTGCAAAAGAACATACGAACAAATGGAGGAACACATTCACAGCTAAATATTAGGATGTCAGAATCATGGTCAATGTTGAGTTGGGTATCTATTAATTCATTCATGATTCTATACATTCATCAAAATTTTACTGTTTATTGGTATATGTGCCAGGCCCTGGCTAAGCATAGTGAAATGAGTCTGAGTATAAAATACAAAGATCAGCCGGAAACAGAGTATCCACCAATCGAGTTTTGAAGGGGAATGTGAATGGATCACAGAATTAGACCTAAGAGTCAAAACTCTAAAACACTTAGGAGAAAACATAGCAGTAAATCTTTGTGACCTTACATTAAACAAAGTCTTCTTAGATACGACACCAAAAGCATAAGCAACAGCAGCAAAACATAAACTGGACTACATCAAAATAAACTTTTGTGCTACAAACAATATTACCAAGAAAGTGAAAAGGCAATCCACAAAATATCTGGAAATCATATATCTGATCTGGATTTGTTATCAGATATAAGGAACTCTTACAATTCTATAATAAAAAAATCCAATTTAAAAACGGGCAAAGACACTTCGTCTAAAAAGATATACAAACGGCAAATGGTACAGAGAAAGATGCTCAACATCATTAGTCATTAGGAAAATGCGAATCCAAAATTGGATACTGCTTCATACTCTCTAGCATAGCTATAACCAAAAGAGATTAACAAGTGTTGGCAAAGATGTAAAGAAACTGGAACATCCATACACTGCATTTCACATATGCCACAAAGCATGTAACTGCTATGACAGAAAGCAACAAAATATAACTTAGAAATGTCACAACCAATAAACTGATTTCACAGAAACAAGAAATCTGTATTATATTCACTAACAAGCTCAGAAGCTACCCTAATTTAAAAGGACTGTTGAAAGCAGATAGGTGGTAAGGATATTATAGGTCCAGGGTCTTCTGAGTGAAAGAAAAGGGGTCTCAAGTCAGCAGGGGTAGGAAACAAATTCCTGAAGTAGAATCAATACCTGCTCAGTTACAGAGAGCCCCAAAAGGCCACATTTTCTGACTTCATGAAAGATTCTGGAAAACTAGATTTTTACGTGTTAGCAACTAATTCAGAACATTTTAGGTGCTAAGTAAGGCGCCAGTTGGCAACTTCTGAGGATAAGTTTATACCCAAGAATACCTATCATCTGTGCCTGTAGTAATATTGCTTATTGCTTTAGAGTGCTAAACGAGCAACCAATTTTAAGACTCCTTGGACAAGAAACATCACTGAAGAGAATGGTTTTGCACACTGGCTCCGCAAGCGGTAATACTCACGCCCTCTAGCAGGGGAACGGGAGGACTGCACGCTCCTATCAGGGTCTGCCGCAGGAACTCATCCCAATCAGACACCTTGTCTCTGATGCCTATAAGAGGGAATAAATGGGTGATTATTCATAGTGTCAGCTGCAGAACAGAGAAACAAAAACTAATACACAGACGTTAAACCACTGAAAGTGGTTTAGAGGTAATTTGTACTTTTAATATCTGAGTCCAACGTATTACTTCTTTCAGAGCTTAAAAAAATCCCCCACTAGATAGAGAGTGCAGGCTCTGCACTCTCAGCAGAGCCCATGCAGGGCTTGATCTCACCAACTGTGAGATCATGACCTGAGCCAAAATCCAGAGTCAGACACTTAACTGACTAAGCCACCCATGTGCCCCACTACTTTTTTATGATGGGAATTCTCAAATATATATAAAAGTAGAGAAAAGAGTATAATGAATCTCCATGTACCTTAGCTTCAACAATTGTCACGTCATGGTCAATCTTTCCATCCAGACCAGGAGTTGTTAGCTAACAACTACCTTTGGGCTAACTCTGGCCTACTGTCTACTTTTGTAAATAAAGTTTAACTGGAACACATCCATGTCCATTTGTTTACATATCATCTGTGGTTGCTTTCACACCACAAAGGTAGATCCCTGTTACAGGGATTACATGGCCTGTAAAGCCGAAAATATTTACCGTTTGGTCAGATATTCTGCCAATCCCTGGTCTATACCTTCACACCATCCACCCAACCCAACCACAGATTATTTAGAATCCAATTCCTGATATATTTGTATCATATAATATCATATAATTTCATCCAATATAATCTCAGTGGTTTTTTTTTTTTTTTTTGAGAGAGAGAGAGAGAGAGAGCCAGCACACAAGCTGGGGAGATGGGCAGAGGGAGAGAGAGAGAAAGAAAATCTTAAACAGGCCCCACACTCAGCCCAGAGCCTGACACAGGGATCCATCCCATGATCCTAGGATCATGATCTGAGCTAAAATCAAGAGTCAGATAGATGCTCAGGGTGCTTGGGTAGCTCATTCAGATAAACGTCCAACTCTTGATGTCAGTTCAGATCACGATTTTGCGGTAGTGGGATCGAGCCCCATGTTGGCTCTGCGCTGGGTGTGGAGCCTGCTTGGGATTCTCTGTCTCCGCCTCTTCCCTGCTCTCTCTCACATGCACACACGCTCTCTCTCTCTCAAAATAAATAAACTTAAAAAGGGTCGGAAGCTCAGCGGGGCTGCCCAAGCACTCCTCAGTATGTATTTCTAAAAAAATAATAATAATAATAACTTTTTATATAAGCACAATATCACACTATTAAAAATTAACAATAATTCTTTAATATCAAATATCTAGTCCATGTTTAAATACCCCCAAATGTCTCATAAATAGTTTCTTCCAATTTGTTTGGTCAAATCCAGATCCCAATGAGACGCATATATTGCAAATGGTTGATTTATTGCTTAAGTCTCTTTTAATGTATATGTTCCTTCTCCCCCTTCTCTCTTTTTCTAGCAGCGTATTTATTGAAAAAGAGCCTTTAGTCTGTTTAGTGTTTTTCTGAGTCTGCTTTTACTGGTAGCCTCCCTGTGGGTGGTAGCTGGTTGTTCCACTGACCTCTGTATTCCATATAAATCAGTGTTTACAGCTACAGCCAAAATTCAGATCTGACTCTTTTGAGGGGGAGTCAAGAACTGTTCATAAGTGGAGTGGTAGTCTTCCATCACTTCCATCAAGAAGCGGATTCAGTCTGGCTGTCTCTCCTTTTATGGTGTTAGCATCTTTTAATGGTCACTGCACAGGGGCACCTGGGTGGCTCAGTCGGTTAAGTGTCCAACTTCGGCTCAGGTCATAATCTCACCGTTCAGCGTTTCGAGCCCCGCGTTGGGCTCTGTGCTGATAGCCAGCTCAGAGCCTGGAGCCTGTTTTAGATTCTGTGTCTCCCTCTCTCTCTCTGACCCTCCCCTGCTCACGCTGTCTTTCTCTCAGAAATAAATAAAAAATTAAAAAAAATTAAAAAAAATTTTTTTAAATGGTTACTACACAGATACACTGATTCATCAGGGGCTAAAAATGGTGATTTTCCCATCATCTCTTTCATGTATACTAACCAAAAAGTATTCTATAAAGAAAAATTTCTCTTCTTTAACTACTTCATTACCTTGAGTTATAGTTCACAGGAAAAAAAGCAGGATACATGTTTGATTCTCTTTACCTTTCCCTGTATTTTCCAGCTTTCAAAATCATCAGCGGCTTCCCTAGCATCCTCCAAAGGTGATCAAGGAGAGTTCTGTTTAAAAGCCTCACTAGAAAATTATAGACTAAAGTACATACGATATGTTTCAGGTCATCACAGCTATTGTCCTGATGCTCACACTGTCCTGTCTTTAACCAGAGGCAGTCTCTTTTGGGAAGTAAATAGTCACTGACATCTTCCTTACTTTCGGTATAAACGGTGTCCCAGGCTCAGCTTGTACCTTTCCTGCCCCAGTACAAGAACTGGCTCCTTCTCCAAGGAGTTTGAATTTGTCTGGGTGAAAGTGGTATCTGGAGTTCACAATTAGGGTGCTGAGAATGCTTGTGTTCTAAAAATATTCTTTATACTAAGCTTGTGTTTCTAGTTCTTTTCAGTATCTAGAACTAAGAAAGATCTTTTTTTAAAGACATATATCACTGTAGGAGTCCATATGGACACTTCCAATACAAATTCATGAAGACATTGTTTCTACTTAACTTCATATATCTAAGCTCTGTTTCCTTTCTCTCCTGCTGAAACCCCTAGTTCTTAATTATACATTTCATTATGACTTTATCCCATAATACCCAAATATTATTTCAAAATAATATCAACTTTGCAATCAACAATGATTACTAAAAATAGCTTACTTTCGTTGTTGTTACACTATATCCCTATTAGGAATGTACCTTTAAATTACTATATTTGAAAGCCAATGAAATAGTTCTCTGAGAGGTCACTTCTTGACCTGTATACATAGTTACATTTCTCTGCCTTTTTTTTTTTTTTAGAAATTTCTTTAGGGGCGCCTGGGTGGCTTAGTCAGTTGAGCGTCCAACTTTCGCTTAGGTCATGATCTCGCGGTTCGTGGGTTCGAGCCCTGCATCGGGCTCTGTGCTGACTGCCAGCTCAGAGTCTGGAGCCTGTTTCAGTCTGTGACTCCCTCTCTCTCTGACCCTCCCCTGCTCACGCTGTCTCTCTCTCTCTCCTAGCAATAAATAAAACTTCAAAAAAAAATTAAAAAAAAAAAGAAATTTCTTTAAAATTTGTTTTATAGTTATATAAAATACTTACATTGTTCAAAATTCAAATTTACAAAATAGATGCATTCAGGAAATCTGGCTTCTATCCTTGTCCCCACTTCATTACATTTCCTGTTTCCCCAAAGGTAACTTTTTTAAATGATTTATCCTTTTATTTCAAAAAATGAACTTCACATATATTCATATGTTCTCCCCCTCCTTCATTTCTGTACACATTTTCTCTTTTCATAAAACAAGATATCCTGGGGGCGCCTGGGTGGCTTAGTCGGTTAAGTGTCCAACTTTCGCTTGGGTCGTGATCTCGCGGTTCGTGGGTTCGAGCCCCGCGTCGGGCTCTGTGCTGACAGCCAGCTCAGAGCCTGGAGCCTGTTTCAGAGTCTGTGATTCCCTCTCTCTCTGACCCTCCCTTGCTCATGCTGTCTCTATCTCTCTCCTAGAAATAAAAAAAATAAAAAAAAATAAAAAAACATTAAAAAAAATAGTGAACTCAATTTAAAAAAAAACAAAAAAACAAGATATCCTGGAGAACACTCCCCACCTGTAGGTAGATGGTCCCCATTTCTTTTTACCATGTGCTGCAGCTTTTAGCATGTAGAGTATCCTTTTGTGTCTTATAATGCTTTCTAATCTGAATTCTACCTTTGTGAAATACACTCCTACTTTCTTTTCTATTTGATTTGGTTTTATATATCTTTGTCCATCCTTGTATTTTAAACCTTTCAGAATATCTCCAGTTATATATGTCTCCTAAAAACAGCACAAAAGTTGGGGCGCCTGGGTGGCTTAGTCGGTTAAGCATCCGACTTTCGCTTAGGTCATGATCTCGCGGTTCGTGGGTTCGAGCCCCGCGTCGGGCTCTGTGCTGACTGCCAGCTCGGAGCCTGTTTCAGTCTGTGACTCCCTCTCTCTCTGACCCTCCCCTGCTCACGCTGTCTCTCTCTCTCTCTCTCTCCTAGAAATAAATAAAACATTTTTTAAAAAATTTAAAAAAAAAAATTAATAAAAAAACCCACACAAAAGTGGGTTTAACATGAACGGTCTTTTTACTTTTAATAGAAGAGTAAGCCCATTAACATTTATGGGTATTACCAATAGGTATGGCCTCAATTCTGTCATATTGTTAAATACCTTATCAATTATTGGTATGTGTGTGTATGTATACATAGTCTTTCACTATGTGATCTATTTTATTTGAACATATACTTTTTCTTTTTAAAATTTATCTTTTGGCAATTAGAAAGGTTTGTGTTTTTATTCTCCTAGTTCCCTTTATATTAATACCTTTATATAACACTTTAGTTCTCTTTTTTGGACTATTTTCTACTTCTTTGTCTGATAAACAGTAGTAACAGTAGCCAAAACTTATTTTGTCTCCTCTTCTTTACCATCTCATTTCGGGCAACAGCCTTTTATTCTCAATTAACATTTAAAAGGTAATTAGTTAAAAAAAAAAAACAATTAGTTAAATTACTCTGCAATAAAGCGTTTTTTAAAAAAAAGGCAGTGAGTGAGCTTTATCTCTATGCACGTGCCCTCCCTACTCTGCTGTCCCACATTTGTATAGTGACACTATCTACAGGTCAGTGTGTAACTCTTATATATTACACTGTCTCCTTCATACCTGTCACTTAGTTCCAAGTACTATAGCTACACATATATTTAATGTTTCAGTAACAGTTCTTAGGCTGATGTTTCTTCATTTACTGGGTTTTCCTAAATTTCAGTCTCCAGTGGATATCTTAGGAAGGGCTCAAAGGAACCTGAGTCTTCACATCTTCCCAACGGTGTGCTTATGCCCTTCACACCTAAAGTTCAGTGTGACGAGATGCAAAACTCTTGTCTCATAGATTCTTTTACTGAATTTCTTAACTATGTTACCCTACTATCTTTTATCAAAAAGCACTATTGTCAATTAGTCTGATGACAATCTTGTTTTCCTTCCTTTTTAAGAAATTTAGACTTTTTGCCTAGGATTATTTTTTACTTTGAAGTCCAAGTGTCATTACAACACATCTTGATGTAGCTGTTCTCACTGGATTTTCCTATGGACATAGTGAGCCCTTTCTAGATGTATTTCAAGTCCTATTTTATTTCAGTAAAGTTTTCGTGAATTACAGTTTATAGTATCTTATTGTTTTTCTGTTGCAGTTTTCTTTAGGGACTTTACCCCGTCTTTGCTCATTTCTTTTTTATTTTACAAATTTTCTTCCTTTTCACCTTCTCTTTCTCTTCTCCAATCATCTCATTTCTGAATTTTTATAATTTTATTTATATTTTTTTCTCACTGCTTCTATTATTGTTGCTACTTTCTCTTAGATTGTTTTGAAATGTTTTTATGTGACACAGTATTTATCTCTTTTGTGGTTATGTTTCTCCAGAGGTATTTTATTCCATCCTTCTCTCTCTCATTATAATAACCTTGTATTCAACTAAAATCATTTAAATTAGATGAATTTTCCTAGACTCAAGATGAGATGATGGGCCAGGTAGCTTCATGTCTCTAGAGCTTCCTTCTGCTGTTTTTTTCACAAAACATTTAAAAATATGGCAGCTAGGAGCCCACAGATCCTCAAGAACCCTAACACCTAAATATTCATTTCAAAAATTTTTTAAATGTTTATTTATTTTTGAGAGAGAGACGGAGAACATAAGTGGGGGAGGAGAAGAGAGAGGGAGACAGAATCCAAAGCAGGCTCCAGGCTCTGAGCTGTCAGCACAGAGCGCAACATGGGACTCACGAGATCATGACGTGAGCCAAAGCTGGATGCTTAACTGACTGAGTCACCCAGGAACCCCCTAAATATTCATTTCAAAATACCATTCTTCACCAAAGGAAACTAGGACTTCTTGGAGAAATGACTGATTTCAGTGCTGAGGCAGAGAAAAGCTTCTTGAACTAAAACATAAGAAACTACTCAAAGAATGATGGGAACATAACAAAGGACACATTAGTGGCAGCTTAAAGGAGTGTCCACTTGCCAAATCTAGGATAATGTGAGCATCAAGATAAATAATGACAGTAAAGGATCATAACCCATTGAGTAAAATAAGAATCATGAGTCTACACTGACATACATGCATACATAAATACACACACATACATTAAGTATATGTATGTAAATGGGGGGAAAGGAAAGCTCTTTCTATTGCAGAAAGCCAATTATGAAATGTAGACAGAATTAGAAAATACCATTTGATAAATATTAGAGTAATAACTGTTTCAGATAAAAATGATCGATCAATGCTAAAAATAGTGGGTAACAGTGAAGAGCAATGAGGTGTTTACACTACCTCAAAGTATCTTCCTACAAGATACTTATTAATTAAAAGCTATGAGAGTAATTTTAGGGTGGAAAAACTTGAAATACACCAAATTAATCAAGCGATGAAAGTTAACGTACCACCAGTTACAGAACAAACCAACAGCATGTGTCTCCTAATAATGAGTGATGCCCTAGAGGACACAGTGTCACTTCTGCAGGTCTCCTACCAAAAGTGCACAATCTGAGTCTAAGGAAACATCGGAGAAACCCAAGCTGTGGGATATTCCAAAAGACCAACTGGCTTGTACTCTTCAAAAACATCAACACCAAGAAAGACAAAGAAAGGTTAAGAGAAGTAAAAAGACGTGACAGTCAAATGCAATGTGTAATTCCTGGACTGAATCCTGGACCAGGAAAAGAAACAAGGCATAATCAACATTATTGGGAAAACTGCCCTATAACTTTCAAAAATGTCCAAGTCACAAAAGACAAAGTCTGAGAAACATCCAGATTAAAGGAATCTTATGAGACATGACAAATGAATAAAATACATGCTCTGGGATTTCCTTTTACTATAAAAACATTTTGGGTAAAAACTGAATAAGATCTACAAATTATAGTATTAAATCAAAGTTAATTTCCTTATTTTGTTATTTACTGTACTAATGAATGTCCTTGGTTTTTTAAAAAAAATTTTTATTAGATGATATAACCTTTTTAAAAATTTATTTATTTTTTTATTTTAAAGAGAGAGTGCATGTTAGTAGGAGAGGGGCAGAGGGGGAGAGAAAGAAAATTTCAAGCAGATTCCATGGCCAGTGCAGAGCCAGAGGTAGAGCTCGATCCTACAACCCTGGGATAATGACGTAGGCTGAAATTGAGAGTTGGACACTCAACTGACTGAGCCACCCAGATGCCCCGTCCTTATTTTTAAAAGAACATTAAAAGTGTGAGTAAAAGGGCATCATGTCTATAACTGACTTTCAAATGATTCATTAAAAAATCATGCAGGTATGTGTGTATGAGAGTGAGAGAGATGGAGGGAGAAGGAAGGACAATGTTAAGTGTGGTAAAATGTCAACATTTAGGGAAACTTGGCAAAAAGTCTCTAAGAATTTTCTATACTATTTTTGCAGCGTTTCTGTAAATCTAAAATTTTATCAAAATAAGTAAAGAAAAACATATAAGCTCTGGTATTTTCTTGAAGCCTGAAGCCTCTCTTCCCTTTCTCTACCTTTACATGACCCTCTTCCTCCTTTTGCCCTACTGTCTCTGTACTTAATTTGGATTCTACTCTCAGTAAGGCTCTTTCCTGGAAAGGAACTTCAGTTGACTCATTTTAAGAGTTCATAGGTCCCAGACAATCTAGGGGTGAGAAGAGGGAGGGCAATAAACTCTGAAGATTTTGAGCATCAACATCATAGCAATCTGGCCCAATCAATGTACTTAAAGACACACAGACGTACAAGTCCCAAAGTCAGAGAGCCTCATGGTCTTACAGGATGATAAGCAACTGACACTCCCAATGAGTATCATAAAAAACGCAAGGCTTTGTGAGGCCCAGAAAATAATTTTTAAAGATAGGGAAATGTGCATTATTCCTTATAAATATTTTTATTCAAAATGCTAACCCAAAAAGTTAGAAAAAGCTATGTGCAGGGGAGAATGAAAACCTCAAGGGCATAGCCATGGCAGCAGTGTATCATCTCTTGATAACAAGTATCTCATTACCTTCCGGGGCTTCAAGGGTCTTCTTGTTCTGCTCGCACCACCCAATGGGGTATAGCCCGGCCTTCCTGATGTCACACCAGAAGTCTGCCCTCCGGTCCTCACCATAGCCATCATAGCGGAGCAGCAGCAACTGCTCACAGGTAGTAATGATGGTGGCAACCCAGTAGGTTTCAGGGTCTGTTTTCACAGCCACCTCCAGCTTCATCCCAGGAGCAAATCCATTTTGCAAGCGTGTATCCACCTAAGCAGGGAGATTTTATTAACCATCAGATAAGTATCTTAAAGGAGTATTTCTTTTGCCAACGTTCTTTTTTTTTTTTTTTTTTTAAATGTTTGTTTATTTATTTTGAGGGTGGGGAGGGGCAGAGAGAGGGAGATAAAGAGTTCCAAGCAAGGTCCTCGCTGACAGCACGGATCCAGATGCGGGGCTCAATCCCACAAACTGTGAGATCATGACCTGAGCCAAAATCCAGAGTCGACTGCTTAACCAACTGAGCCACCCAGGGGGCCCTTCCACCATTCTTTTCTAAGACTTACAATTCTGAAGCACTAAATGCAATGAAGTCTTCTCAAGGGAAACCTGAGAAATTCCAATTCTACCTCACAGGAGTGATCCAAATAAAACAAGGAACAGCAGTTCCAGGCGACTCTGAACGAATTTTAATAGAACTCAATATTTTCACCAAAGCAGTCTACTATGATTACAGAAAATGTTTTATATTAAGTACATAAATCACTAAATGTTCACTATTTTAATAGCCTTCGACACATTATGTTTTCAAGAGTGATTTCTAGATCATTCCAAAAACTTTTATGATACTAGAAAAGGAGAAAGACAAAATAAGCTATGATGATAATAGATAATAAATTAGTATAATACGTACCATATGTTAGAGACCCATACCACCCAGTTTCCCTGAAACAGTCTCTGTTTATACCTGTTATCCTTGAGTGATATTTAATAGTGGCCTGTTTCTCTCTCAAGTGGGCTGCTTTAGATCATAAATTATATGGTCACAAAGGCATGGGTGAACTACTTCATGAGTATACTAAGATTAAAGTACATACATAAACTGTGAGAAATGAGAGCCAGGTACAAACAGGGAAAGGGGAGACTAGAATGAAACTTGTGTTGAATTGGAATCAGCAGTATCGGAACAAGATCACAATGACAGAAAATAGTACAGAAGTGTATGTATGTGTGTGCGAAAACATCTCCCACATCTCCCACTTCGGTGAACTGACAGGAACTGGAAGTAACGATACTCATCAACAATAAGCAAATTCATTGGACACATCTTGATTCCCAAATGCTATCCTCCAATAAAAAGAACAAGGGCTCCATGGAGAAATAAGTGATACCAATTTTGGGGTAGAGAAAACATAGTTAAGAGCCTTGAATTATCTTGTGATACCAGAAAATAAGGAAATGCTCCAAAAACGATGAGGGCATTTGTAAAGGACATGGGAGCCAACCAGAAGGATCCCCCCAATGGTCACATTAGGGATAATTTGAACAATAAAGTAAATAATAAGACTAATGGATTATAACCCATAGACTTAAACCATAACCATTGAGTCCACACTGTAAAAAAAATATTTAACAGAGAAGACGGGATACATCCTTAGAATAGAAGACCAATTAATATAGAGAAAAATGATAGAAACAGAAAACCATCATTAGAAAAAACACAGAAATAAACACTACAGGCAAGAATCATGGATCAGTGCAAAAATGACTATGATATTCACATAATCTCAAAGGGTCTCCTATAAAATTCTTAACAATTATAAAGGGGAAAACAGTAACATCACTGTGAAGAACTATGGCAGACACCATCTTAACTGATCAAAGTTAACATCATGGGTTCTAAAACATCAATTGTATCAACACCTTTGATATCATACAACAAGAAAAGCACAATATTATTTCTATGAATTCTTCTCAAATCTGCATAAACTCAAGTTAATTATGAGTTATCTAAATTGAGGAATATTCTATAAGATAACTGATACATTATATGCTCTTCAAAATGCCTAGGCCATGAAAGATAAAGAAGGAATGAGGAACTAGTAAACACCAGGGGAGACCATGCAGACCTGACAAAGAAATGCAACCCAGCAATCACAAACACCGGGCAGTGAGGGGAGTCCTGGAAAGACAGCCAGGGAGGGAAAGTCCTACTTCCTGTACAAAAACCCCTGCCCTTTCCATCAACTGCCCTGGTGCACTCCTCACTGTATCAGTAGAATTATGCAGTATGAATGTTGTTCTGTGTGGGCTTTTCTCCAGCCCAACACTGCTTATGGATTCATTCATGTTACGTTTAACAATCTATTTCTTTTCACTGGTGTATTACTATTCCATTATACAAATATGCCACAATGTATCCATTCTAATGCTACAAATAGGAGACACTGTGAAAAGTTTGCAGCTTTCAAAGACCATAATTAATAGTGTCATGACAACACAAATATTTTTGTGTCTCTGGTGTATATATACATGGAATGCAATAACAGATACGGCCAAACCATTTCCAAAGTGGTTGCACCAGTTTACTCTCCCAGTAATATAAAAAATCCTTTTGCTCCAACACTCTAGCTAACATTTGTCTGTTTTCAGTCCTTTTCATTTTAACCATTTTGGAAGGTGTGTTATGTATCTCATTGTGAGTTGATTTTTTCTTAATGTTTATTTATTTATTTTCAGAGAGAGAGAGAGAGCAGAGAGAGGAGAGAGAGAACCCTAAGCAAGCTCCTTGCTGTCAGCACAGCGCCCGACCCAGAGCTCAATCTCACCATTGTAAGATCAAGACCTGAGCCAAAATCAAGAGTGGGACGCTTAACCAATGGAGCCACCTTGGTGCCCCTCTCACTGGGATTTTAATTTGGATTCTTTCATTATTAAGAAGATGGAAACCTTTAATATTTATTAGCCATTTACATTTCTCTTTTGGGAAATGGCTAAGATTCTTGCGTATTTTGGGTCAAGTCTATATTTTGGATATCAGGTCTTTGTCAGTTACTTATGTTGTAAATATCACCTCACTTCCTTGATGGTTTTGATTGATGAACGGAAGTTCTTAATTTTAATGTACTCTGATTTATCAATGTTTTTCCTTTAAAACGTTAGTGCTTGGGGCGCCTGGGTGGCTTAGTCGGTTAAGCGTCCGACTTTCACTTAGGTCATGATCTCGCGGTTCGTGGGTTCGAGCCCCGCGTCGGGCTCTGTGCTGACTGCCAGCTCAGAGCCTGGAGCCTGTTTCAGCCTGTGACTCCCTCTCTCTCTGACCCTCCCCTGCTCACGCTGTCTCTCTCTCTCCTAAAAATAAATAAAACATTAAAAAAAAAATTTAAAAAAAATAAAATAAAAAAAAATAAAAAGTTAGTGCTTTTTCCTTTTTTTTAAAACAAAATTTCCCTATCCCTAGAAGTCATAAAGATGCATTATTTTTCATAAGTCTTTCATATTTAGAACTAATATCCACTTTGAATTACTCTCCATGTATGGTATTAGGTAGAAGTCAGGTTTTATTTGTTTGAAGATGCATATACAACTGACCTTCCCCCCCACACTGGAAATTGCCACCTTTGTTATAAGTCAAGGGTCCCCACAAAAGTGGATCTGTTTCTGATTTGTTTTTCCTTAGGGTAGCACTACAGTGCCTTAATTAAGCTTGAAATCTAGTACAGCAAGTCTTCTTGTTTTGTCTTATTCTTTAGCTGTATCTGGTTATCCTGGCTCCTTTATATTTCCACATGAACTTTAGAATCAGACTGTCAATTTCTATCTAAATTTTCTTTTGGTATTTGACATGGGTTGCAGTAACTCTATAGATCTATTTGGGAGAACTGTCATCTTTACAATACTGAGTCTTCCATTACATAAACAAGGCATATTCCTTTAACTTATATCAATAATGGGTTTTTTTTTAATGTTTTATTTATTTCTAGGAGGGAGGGAGGGAGGGAGAGAGAGAGAGAGAGAGAGAGAGAGAGCGCGCGCAGGGGAGGGTCAGAGAGAGAGGGAGTCACAGACCGAAACAGGCTCCAGGCTCTGAGCTGGCAGTCAGCACAGAGCCCGATGCAGGCCTCGCACCCACGAACCGCGAGATCATGACCTAAGCGAAAGTTGGACGCTTAACCGACTAAGCCACCCAGGCGCCCCAACTTATATCAATAATGGTTTGAAGTTACTTCACAGGTTTTTGTTACGTTTATTCTTAGTCATTTGATGTTTTTATGTTATTGTAAATTACACCTTTCAGTTCCACTTTTCATTGTTGCTAGTATATAGAAATAAAATAAATTTTTATGTTACCCTGTACCTAATAATCTTGCTAAAGTTACTCATTAATTCTATATCTGTAAATTATTTTATTCATCTTTATATAATGACATTTTTCCTTCCTTCCCAATCCTTACACATTTTAACTGTTTTTCTTACCTTCTTGTATTAGCAAGACCTCTAAAACAGTATCAAACAGAAGTCAGGTTAGCCAACATTTTTTCCCCCTGAAATCTGTTCGTTCGTTCGTTCGTTCGTCCGTCCTTCTTTCTCTTTCTTTCTTTCTCTCTCTCTCTCCTTCCTTCCTTCCTTCCTTTCTTCTTTACAATAGTTTATTGTCAAATTAGTTTCCACATAACACCCAGTGGTCATCCCCACAAGTGTCCTCCTCCATGCCCACCCCCCCTCCCCCCCACATCTATCAGTCCTCAGTTTTTGTCAGCATTCAAGAGTCTCTCATGGTTTACCTCTCTCCCTTTCCCCCACCATTTCCGCCCTTCTTCTCCCCCTTGTTACTCCGTCAAGTTCCTCCTAATCCTCCTATACGTGCAAACATATGATATTTGTCCTTCTCTGCCTGACTTATTTCGCTCAGCATAACACCCTCAAGGTCCACCCATGTTGCTACACAAGGCCAGATTTCATGGTTTCTCATTGCCATGTAGTATTCCATGGTATAGATAAACCACATCTTCTTGATCCATTCGTCCATGGATGGACACTTAGGCTCTTTCCATGTTTTAGCTATTGTGGAGAGTGCTGCTATGAACATTGGGGTACATGTGCTCCTATGCATCAGCATTTCTGTATCCCTTGGGTAAATTCCTAGCAGTGCTATTGCTGGGTCATAGGGGAGTTCTATTGTTAGTTTCCTGAGGAACCTCCACACTGTTTTCCAGAGGGGCTGTACCAGTTTACATTCCCACCAGTGTAGGAGGGTGCCCGTTTCTCCACATCCTTGCCAGCATCTAGAGTTCTCTGATTTGCTCATTTTAGCCACTCTGACCGGCGTGAGGTGGTATCTCAGTGTGGTTTTGATTTGTATTTCCCTGATGAGGAGGGATGCTGAGCATCGTTTCATGTGTCCGTTAGGTTAGCCAACATTTTTATCTTGTTCCATATATAAAGTATACATCATATTACTATTAATAAAGTCTGCTGTAGATTTTTTATAGATATCCTTTAGCAAATTAAAGAAATTCTCATCTATAGTTTGCTAAGAGTTTTTATCATGAGTGGGTATGGAATTTTACCAATTGTTTTTCTCTCTATATTGAGGTGATAATGTGTTTTTCTCTTTTATTCTACTACTAGAGTGAATTATGCTCTTCAAATGTATCTTCCTCACTTTCTCTCCTTTCTCCTGAGATTCCAACTACACATGCATTAGACTTTTTTTATACTGTCCACAGCTGTTGGACGTTCTGATCTGTTTTCTTCTCCCACTCTTTTTTTCCTCTTTGCACTTCAGTTTGGGCCATTTATATTGACTTATTTTCAAGTATACTGACTCTTTTTCATCTGTGTGAGGATGACCAATGAGGTTGTCAAAGGCATTCAACATCTCTTATTACCATGTCTTTCATTCCTACGATTTCCACTTGACTGTGTGTCTAACAGTGTCCATCACTGTTTTTTTTTTTTTAAGTTTATTTACTTTCAGAGAGAGAGAGTGCATGAGTAGCAAAGGGGTGGAGAGAGAGGGAGAGAAAGAATCCCAAGCAGGCTCTGTGCTCTCAGCACAGAGTCTGATGCAGGGTTTGGTCTCATGAACCATGAGATCCTGACCTGAGCCAAAATCAAGAGTCAGATGCTTAACCAACTGAGCCACCCAGGCACCCCTGACTTTTCTTTTCTGTTCACACATGTTGTCCACCTATTCTGCTAGAGCCTTTAACCTATTACTCATAGTTATTTAAAATTCTCTGGCTGTTCCAGTATCTGGGCCTTATGAGTCTGGTTCTGTTGAATGCTTTGTCTATTGACAGTTTGCTGTTTTTCTCTTGCTTCTTCGTGTGTCCCATAATTTTTCACTGAAAGCCAGACATCCTGTACATAGTAACTGAGGTTGAGGCAAATAGTATGTATGCCTGGACATGGGCATGTTTCTTTTTAGGCCATAAATTTGAGGGACAAGGTTAAGTCAATGTAGTGAGGAGTGCAACTGGGTTTGGGTTCTGTTGTGTGATTATACATAGTACACCAGAGGCTCCAAACTACATTAGCATTTTCTATTGAGGGTATAGGCTCATTTGCCAGAGGGCTTTTTCCCCCTCAATATTTGCTGCTCCACCCTGAGATTTACGTCTTCTCTTTGTGACTGCATCTCAGAGACCATCTATCTCCACACTCTTGCTTCTCCCTTACAAACAGACCTCTGTTACCCAACATTTTCTAACTCAGTGGTTAAAGACAAGCAGGAAGGGGCACTCTCTGAGATTCAGCCTCAGTCTCAGGTTCTGTGTCCTGAGTGCAAAGTTCTCAGTGATCTTACCCCTCTCCCAACTGTAGGGGGCCTTTAATGCTCTAGCATGTATTCCTACCCCTCTCCAGGGACAGAGGGCTTTTATTTCTTCTGTTCTATCCCCAGGATGCAATGGACCTTCACCTGCACCCGGGGGGGGGGGGGGGGGGGGGGGGCGGTTAAAAGGTTTGCATTCCTTCCCCTAGCAGCTTAAAGCTTTTGTTCTAGAAGACTCAGGTAAAGCTTACTGTCTTTTCCATAGTTTGTGCTGTTTCCTTCACCAGACATGTACTATGAGGAAAACTTTTTACTATCATAAAACTGCCCTCCTTGCAAATGTGGTTTACTTCTAATTCTTCTTCAGCCCCGCCTTCCCTCCCTTCTTCATTCCAAACTGGGTACTATAAAACTTGCCAGCGGCTCACACATGCTGGAGATCTGAGTTCCAGCAGCTTTGGCTGTGACTGGCTAGCTACAGGCACTCCTCATCATCTTCATATACCTGTGCTTGGTTTTCTCCGTATGTGGCAGTCCTTCACCATATACTGATTAAAGCTTACAAATATTTTCTACATTTGATGATCAGAAAGTATACATCTATTTTTCATTCTCCTTGCTGCTCTGACATTCAAAGAGGAGAGGTGGAACCTATCTCTTTAAAATGACATTTCTGGGGGCAATTGGGTGGCTCAGTTGGTTAACTGTCAACTTTGGCTCTGGTCATGACCTCATGCTTCATGAGTTCGAGCTCTGTATCAGGCTCTGCACTTCTGGAGCAGAGCTTGCTTGGGATTTTCTGTCTCTCCCTCCATCTCTCTGCCCCTTCCCCATTTGCGCTCTTTCTCTCAAAATAAATGAATAAACTTTTAAAAAAAATGTTAAAGTGACATTTTTTAGATCCAGGATTTTGGTCAGGAAATGTATCCCCCATTTTCATTTTAGTATAAATAAATAAGTGTGTATAAATACCCATCAGATTAGTAACAACACTAAAAACAAGAATCTAAAGGTACTGATCATGAATAGATTTCCCATGTTAAGAAAATACTTAGTCAATGGAATATAAAATGAAATCCTTACTTAAACAATGTAGTTCTCACCACTTCAATTTAAGAAAGGCCTAAGTGAACTAAAAAACAGATAGGTCAACTATTATGACTGAGTTTTTACACAAACTGAAAATAGCAAGACTCTTTGGCATATATAACACTTGTAAGAACACAGTTTAACCTCACAAAATTCTGAGTGAGCATTTGTGTCTTCCCAAATCCTAGAACAAAGAAACCATGGCCTGCTGAACACTGCTATGGACTGAACTATGTCTCCCCAAAATTCGTATGTTCAAATCCTAACTCCCAATGTGACTGTATTTAAAGACAGCACCTTTATGGAGGTAGTAAAGGGTAAATGAGGCCCTAAGCATGGAGCCCTGATTCAAGATTAGCATCCTCATGAGAAGAAACACCAGAGAGTTGACTCACTCTCTGCCCTATGAGGACACAGTGACGAGGCTGTCAGCAAACCAGGAGGAGAGCCCTCACCAGGGCCTAACCCTGCTGGCAGCCTGAACTCAGACTTCTAGTCTCCAGAACTGTGAGAAAATAAACTTCTGTTGTTCAAACCTCCCAGACTATGGCAGCCTGAATAGACTAAGACAAACGTGAAATCAATAGATCAATAATTCTGTTTGAACCTTTTGAAAAGGTTCAAAAACTAGGTCTGAATATAAATTATTAATAAAATTTGGACTATTTTCTTACATTCTAAAGGCGTCATATAGGGCAAATATGTAGCCAATGGATTAAGCATTAAACTGAGCTATTAGGACATAAACTATACTGCCCCAGCCACGAATATGGCCTACTGATGATATTATGTTTCTGCTCAACATGAGAGAACATAATGACTTTACTTGAATGACTTTCAATGTGCAAACCAACAGTCATAAAACAAAGTATAAGAAAATAAACCATTTTCTTCAATTTATGAGGTTTTTAAAAACAGAAATAAAGGAATATTCATGACTAGTGAAAAAGTCTTGCATCGAGTGGCAGAAAATACACAAAACCAAAAAAGACTTTAAAAAAACTCTAGATCTCAGAGTTGTCAGTTCGAGCCCCAAGGTGGGTGTAGAGTTTACTTAAAAATAAAATCTTTGTGTCCAGTTTTTTTTTAAACAAAGGTGGCAGAAGGAGAGAAAAGGAAAAAGCACTCAAATCCTTTCAAGTGTCCCAACTTAAAATAACTCTAAACCCTCTAATGATGGTACTGTTAAGTCAAAGGAACAACATGTAGTCAGTAAAACAAATACAGGTACTGCTTACATGTTTAAAAGATCCATAGGGTACTGCAGCGGACCCTGTCTCTTCTAGATAATCTTCCCAGCTTAATTCCACTTCTTCCACACCAGATCCAGCATCTGGAATTAAAATCAGAACAAAAGAAAACAGGTGGGGCCTAATTAAAGAAAACCCAAAGCATAAAAAGTAAACTTAGTAACCCTAACTTACACACTTTAATTCACATCAAATTAATTGATTTGATTTTACACACAAAATAATCATCTGTTTAGTTTTTAATTTTTAACATCTATTTTTGAGACATACACACACACACACACACACACACACACACGAAGTGCATGCGGGGGAGGGGCAGAAAGAGAGGGAGACACAGAATCTTAAGCAGGCTCCAGGCTCTGAGCTGTCAGCACAGAGTCTGGCACAGGGCTCCAACTCATGAACTGTGAAATCATGATCTGAGCTGAAATCTGATGCTCAACCAACGGAGCCACCCAAGTGCCCCTCACATGTTTGTTTTAAATGGCAGGTTCCCTTTGTGCACTGATGATCAATGAATCTCAACAACATGGAAGTGTGACATGCTGTCTCCTGGGATCCATCAGGGAGACACCCAAATGGGCCACATTAAAGCTGGTGAGAGTGTAACTATAACAATCACTTTGGACTATAACTTAGTATCTAATGCCAACTACTCGAGATACTTAATAGGCATTTCTCTTTATTTTAAATGTTTATTTATATTTGAGAGAGAGACACAATGCGTGAGGGGGGAGGGGCAGAGAGTGGTCAAGACAGAATCTGAAGCAGGCTCCAGGCTCTGAGCTGTCAGCACAGAGCCTGACACAGGGCTCTAGCTCAGAAGCTGTGAGATGATCTGAGCCAAAGTCAGACGCTTAACTAAGCCACCAAGGTGCCTTAAAAGACATCTCAAACTTAAATTTTCAACCTGATTCTTCCTTACTACTTTCCAACTGAGTAAAAGATACCACCAGTCCATATTTTTGCTCAATCCAAAAATGTATGGTTATCCTTGTTTTCCAACCTTTCATATCTACAGATATATCAAAACCATCAGAAAACTCTGTAGGTATCAACTTTAATATACATTCCAAATCTAATCACTTCCTACCATTTTTATTGCTCCCTCTCTAGCCCAAGACCTAACCACTATATCCTTTCACCTTTTAATCAAAATTATAATGAAATCTAAACTCTTTGGAAGACTGTGAAGGCCCAACCTGGTCTGAGCCCTAGCTATCTTCCCTGTCACCTCATCCCCAAGCAGCCTCTTGTGTGTTCACTGCACTCAAGTGACCCTGGGATTCTTACTATTCTTCTCTAAACATGTTCTTTCCTCATTGATTTCCTCAGCTCAAAGACTCCTTCCCCAGTGTCATTCACAGCTTCATTTCACTTAAGCCTCTCCTCAAATGTCCTCTTTCCAGAAAGGCCTCCCATCGCTACTTCTCTACAGCAGAAACCCCAGACTCTGCTTCCATTATCTCACAGGCATTCAGCACTACTGGACAGTATTCCATACACCTTTTTATCCTCCCCATGAGAAAAGAGATCTACCAAGACAGGACTTTGTTCTGGTCACTCCTATATCGCTGTCACGGCAGACTCAATAAATTTTTGTTGAGTGAGCAAAGATTCAAATATTCAAAATCCAAATCCCAATTTACATAAACTCTCTAAGAGCAGGGTGTTGTTTGCTGATGTATCCCCACTGCCCAAAACAATGTGGGGCACCAGCAAGTTCACAATAAACAGCTCCTGAATGAATACACCCTAGGAAACCCCTTGTGTCTCACACACACTAGGAGGCAAGTACAAGGAAGCTCACCATAGCACTGTTTGTGACAGCAACATACCAGAGGAACTGGTAGGAGAAGAGATAAATTATGGCAATTCTACAATGGAATAGTACTATGTCACCGTTGAAATGAATGAACTAGTGTTGACATAGATAAATCTCAAAAAAAAAAAAAAACAAAATACCCCACATCAAAAAAACCAGCAAGTGCAGAATGAAAAGCACAAGATACAGTGTAGGCTTCAAAGCAAACTTTGCAGTATAAATGTTTATAAATGCATGCATATTAATAAGAGTATAAAAACAACAAAGGTGGGAAGGATATATATCAACAGTGCTACCTTCAGCGATGGAGAGGTGAAAACAGGAATGGAAGTTCAAAAGAGGCTTAAACTCTATTAGGCTTTATTTCTTTAAAAAAATGGAAACAACACATAAAAACATGTTCAATATCATTAGGGAAATGCAAGTCAAAACCGCAATGAGATACCACCTCATACACACTAGAATGACTATTATCCCAAAAAGCAGAAAATAAGTGTTGCCAAGGATGTGAGAAATTGGAATCTGTGCACTGCTGATCTGCGAATGTAAAATGGTGCAGCCACTGTGGAAAACTACACAGTGGTTCCTCAAACAATTAAAAATACAATCACCCTGTGATCCAATAATTCCACTTCTGGATATACACCCCAAAGAATTGAAAGCAAGAGCTCAAACAGATATTTGTACACAAATGTTCATAGCAGTAATATTCACAATAGCCAAAAGGTGGAAGCAACTCAAGTGTCCATAAACACATGAACAGATAAACAAAATGTGGTGTCTACATACAATGGAATGTTATTCAGCCTTATAAAGGAAGGAAATCCTTGCACATATGACAACATGAATGAACCTGAGGATGTGACGCTGAGTGAAGTCAGCCACTTGTAAAAGGACAGATACCATATGATTCCACTTACATGCAATAGCTAGAGTACTCAAATCCACAGAGACACAGACAGAATGGTGGTTCCCAAGGACTGGGGGAAGAGAGAAATGCGGAGTTATCATTATGTACTAGGTACAGAGTTACAGTTTGAGAAGATGAAAAAGTGGTGACTGGGGCACCTGGGTGACTCAGTCAGTTAAGTGTCCAACTCTGGATTCCCGCTCAGGTCATGATCTCACAGTCTGTGGGTTTGAGTCCCATGTCGGGTTTCACGCTGACAGTGCAGGGCCTGCTTGGAATTCTCTCTCTTCCACTCTCTCAGTTGCTCCCCTGCTCACATGCACACACACACTCTCTTTCTCTCAAAATAAATAAATAAACTTAAAAAAAAAAAAAAGGCTGGAGATCACCACCGTGACACACAACAGTGTGAATGGACTAAATGCCACCAACTGTATACCTAAAAATGATTCACAAGTAAACTCTGTGTTAAGGACTTTTTATAACAGTTTTAAAAATGGAAACAAACGGGGCGCCTGGGTGGCTTAGTCCGTTAAGCGTCCGACTTTCGCTTAGGTCATGATCTCGCAGTTCGTGGGTTCGAGCCCCGCGTCGGGCTCTGTGCTGACTGCCAGCTCAGAGCCTGGAGCCTGTTTCAGTCTGTGACTCCCTCTCTCTCTGACCCTCCCATGCTCACGCTGTCTCTCTCTCTCTCCTAGAAATAAAAATATTAAAAAAAAAAAAAATGGAAACAAATACTGGACAACATTAATTCTTCACAGTAGGCCCTACAGGTCTTTGTTACATTGTCTTCCACTCATGTTTATCCATGATGTTTGTTATCTTGTTTTCCATTTGTTTTTACATGTTTGAAATTTTTCACCAGAAACGTAACAAGCCAACAAAGACTACATGGACAGCATCCCGGAAGCATGGGTCAGTAGAAACTCAATTTCCATTACTAAAACATAACAAGGCTGACTACTCATGGTCCTTAGCCAGGGACCTACTCCCTCAAACAGCATGCTAATTTACAAATAAAAAATAAACAACAAAAGGGGCATCTGGATGGCTCAGAGAGCTGGGTGTCTGACTCCTGATTTCGGGTCAGGTCATGATCTCAGTCTGTAGGTTCGAGTCCCGTGTTGGGCTCTGCACTGATTGCTCAGGGCCCACATAGGATTCTCTCTCCGCTCCCCAGCTCACGTTCTCTCTCTCACAAAATAAACAAACACTAAAAAAATAATAAAAATAATGAATTAAAGAACTAAAACCTCTCATAATTAAAAACCTTAACAAGCCAAGAAGAAACAAACTAATAATCTGATCAAAAAATGAGCAAAATAGGGGCACCTGGCTTGCAACCAGCTGGTTGGAAATAACCGATTCTTGCTATCAGCTCAGGTCATGATCTCACGGTTATGGATTGAGCCCCCTCAGGATTGGTTGGAATTCTCTCTGCCCCTCCCCTGCTTGTGCACACACACGCACTCTCTCTTAAAATTAATAATTTATTTATCTCAAAATAAATAATTTTTCTTTAAAAAAAGAAAAATGAGCAAAATACATGAAAAGAAATGCCAGGTGATCCTTAAACATGGAAAGCTGTGCAAATTTACAGCTTTTTAAAAGAAATGCAAATTAAAACTACACTGATGTATCAGATTGGAAAAAAAATGCCAAAGTTTGACAACATACTCTTCTCTACAATGAGGCTGTAGTTAAGCAGGTAAAGCATAAGGACACAACCCTAGTGAAAGAGAACTTGGCAATATCTAGCAAAATACATATGTATTTACCTTTTGATCCAACAACCACACTTCTAGGAATCTAACCCAAAGATATGTTAGCAAAAATACAAAAAGACATATGTGCAAAGCTATTCATTACAGTCCTATTTGTAATACCAAGACTGGGATCAACCCAAATGTCCACCAGCAGGGAACTGGCTGAATTAAATATGGTAGATACATCTATACAGTTGGAAAAAGGAATGAGAAAGATTACCACATACTGATGTGGAATAATATCTAGTATAGAAGAGATATGAATATGAATATATATGTACATACACACATACTTGTTTATAATTTTAAAATGAGTAATAAAGTAATAAAACCAGCTGTGTATACAAAGAATAAGAAGGATGAATAGTATCAGAATGCATTATATGTAACTATGTAGATATTTTTATAATTTAGAAACATATTTACATCAAAAGAAAAAAATTCTAGGGACACCTGGGTGGCTCAGTCAGTTAGACATCTGAGTCTGGATTTTCGCTCAGGTCATGATTTCATGGTTCATGGAATCAAGCCCTCCACTAGGTTCCACACTTACAGTATGGAGCCTCCTTGGAGTTCTCT